CGATGTGGAGCATAAAAACTGGCACGAGATCTTGCCGTATGTCAGGTTCGCCTATAACACGGCTCATCAAGAAACAACAAGAACAATGCCATTCCGCCTTCTTCATGGTCGTGAAGTCACCACTATGCTGGATGCTATGCTGCCGCACGAGTGCTAAGACGCTGAAACGAATGCTGATTATATCACTCAGCTGGCCGAAGAAGCCCGACAACTTGCACGCCTACGTATTAGTCGCCAGCAGGACTACGATTCAAGACGGTACAACCTTCGTCACCGACCAGTCTCCTACGAGCCAGAAGAGAAAGTTTGGATATGGACACCTATTCGGCGCCGTGGCCTCTCAAAAAAACTATTAAGACGGTACTTCAGTCCCTATAAAGTTCTGCGACGCCTCAGTGACATTAATAATGAGGTTGTTCCTGATACTGCGCCCTCTTCAAGGCGTCGAAGGTATGCTCCAGAAGTTGTGCACGTGGTACGCATGAAGCTTTATTTCTCCGAATGAACTCATGCGTTTCCAACGAGTACAAACCGCTTTGATTATAAAGCATCGGGACGATGCTTTCTTGAATGGGAGGCTAATGTCACGGCTAAAGGCCGGGCGAGAAGACAGGGGACGATGAAGTGATGAGCGTGGACAGCACCCACGGTTCCTCCGAGAAAGAAGAAGTCGAAGCGGCTGCTCTTTTGTTCTGTTAATACAGACCTCGTTTTTTTCTGGTCACACCGTCGTCCTGTATTCTGTTATTTTCACCTAGCGGCAATATATTGGAACGCCAACCTATGCGGAGTGACGTGGCTCATGGAAAGAGGTGATCCTAGATGAAATAGCGAAGTTCATTGGACATCTCATTTATAGAAGGATTATTCACATAACGGGTATCCATCTATATTGGAATACCTAAAGACTCTTATCGCAAGGCAATAAAAATTTACTGAGATGAGTGTACGAGTACACATGTGTCTCACGAAAAACCATGCAATGTTTCACCGCATGGCATGAGCAATGAAGCAGCACCTCGGTTCTGATTTTCTCTGTCTATGTGAAGAAAACCATTTCGTACATCATTACTTATTTTTATACTGTTCCTAGGTCATTTATCTACAAAATGCACATTCTGAATTTTCTTTCTTCAAAATATTTTTACACACAGTGTTTTTTATTCCACTGTTTACCAGCTGGTGACAAAAAATTCCACACTTTTCCCATTTTTATTCATTTCAAAATATTTTTGTTGCTCTACAACCTACATTTTTTTTGGAAGGATCATTTCACTCTGCAAAGTTTGCTATGCTGCAATGCGTGCTGAAGTACTTTCTAAACTGGCAAAAACGATCTTCCCGAGACATAAAAAACAACCATTCTGGTGCGGTAATGAAAGAGTTAACCTAGAGTCTGCCCTTTCCGTCACAGGTGTGTACGTCTGCGCAGTGTGCGGCAATGAGCTGTTCGAAAGCGGCTCCAAGTTTGCCCACCAGTCGCCGTGGCCCTCGTTTAGCCAAACGGTGCGACCCGACAGCGTACGTAAAGTCAGGGAGACGAAGAATGCGCTCAAGGTTTGTACACCTGAGGCCAATAGTAGCGGCGAATCGTACGAATGCCATCGAAACTTTCCTGGCTCGCACGCTGCACTATCCAAACCATAGCACAGCAGCACATAGCAAGTGCACCGATGACACTCCCATACAAGATGACATTTAATCTGACTTTCACTCTTGAAGAGACATTAAAGTGATACAGTCCATTAGTATAGACTGCTAAATGATACTCAGAAAATGCTAGTGTCATTATTAGATGAGAAAATTAATATTTTATAATTCTGATGCTAATGTCACAGATTTCAAAATGCTTCTTTTTTTCACATATTGGCCACGCTGAGCAAGGAAAATTCTTGAGACTTGGTCTGCTGATTATCTGTCTCCCTGAGAAGATAATGTGCTTCATTTTCACCAATTAGTAACTACGCAAGCACTCGTAGCTGCAGTCAAAAGCTATGACATCACAGTGATTGATGCATGAGTCGGCAAAAGTAAAACTCGCCCAGACTCACTCAAGAAGTATATTTTCTGCTTTTGGACATGCTCAGACTGAGATTCGCAAAAATTTTTCTGAGCATAACTCACTCGGACTCACACTCGCAAAAATTTCCTTCAACCGGACTCGCTCGACCTCGGACTGGCCAAGATATTACTCGGCCAGACTCGCTCACGGCTCGATCCGAGTCCGAGTGAGTCAACCCGTGAGCGAGTTCGCCGACCTGTGGACTGGTGCGAGAACTTCAAGGAGGCGTGGCCTCTCGCTTACTAAGCATCTTCTCGCAGAGAGCATGGTGTTGTCCGTATCCTAAAAGAATAATTTACTAAAACGAGAAAAATCCTTCCTCTCTTCACCGTCCCATTAGACACCCATTGCAACGTAGACTTAGGGAGGTCGAGCCAATAAACTCGGTGAGAGTGCATATTCAGACAAGCCGCTTTATTGCTTTTCGGAATGGCGTAACGCACCGATGCTTCCATATCGCTAGACGCGCTAGCCGCATTTTGGGACCGGCTGATACGTTAGAGGCCCATGTACTGTGTAATGACAGTGCACAATAAGCAACACCAGATGTCCCGAAATTTCCGGAGCCCTTTACTACGGCATGCCTCAAAATGATATTTAGGCAAAACTCAAGGGGAATATGGAAGCTTGAAAGGATGAAAAATTCCTGAACGTTCTTTAGTTGCTGTCTTGAAGAAGACAACTGATTTTCAAAACGTTGGCCTCAATGACACTGCATGTTCTAAAATTTTTCATCTCATAATCGTATTGTGGTTTTGGCACATAAAGCCCCACATACTATTACTTCTATACGGCACAACTAAAGTGGCGGATATTCAAGGAATAATTGGTTGCTACTCTAGACTGTTTGTGTGCTAAAAAGATCACACACAAGACAAAATAAGGCTTAATTAAGATCAATAAATGCTGCTTAAAACCTACCTACTTCTGTGCAGTCACTCAAGAATTATAATCGCTGCGCCTTAAGAAACTTCTTCCACTTTGAAAATATGCAACCAGTTGCACAAAAACTCCTTTTGCCGATTCCTCATCCCGTTGCTATGCAAAGGATAATTTGGTAAGGCAAAGACAATCAATCGATTTCTTCTCGCAGCAAGTGGTCCACAGTTAAGACAGTTTTCCCTCTTACTGTAACGTCTCGCTGCTGTGTGATTTTGTTCGTTGCTATCATACCCTCTTATATAAATATTCTTCTCGTTGGACGAGCAGGAGTGCTGTCTCACCACAGAAGTCACCGCATCACCAAAATTTGAATCTCACATCATTCATGCTCCCCAAAAATGGTCACACAGGAATCCCAAGGTCTTAACAATAATAACCAGCCTTTCACCCTGTCACGAAAGTGAAAACAGGTTATGACTTAGAGCAGCCGTACGACCACAGCTGCTATTTCTCCAGTGACATAGGGGTGATGCTAATGTACACAAATCTGTGCAATGCAATGTTTCTCTGCTGAGGCCTGCCCGAAGTACAATCTTTGCAAGAAGACAAGAGATGCATATCTTTGTGTGTGCTGCATGTTACCACAAAGCTATGAGCTGTCTCCTACAAGCATATGGTTCATACCTTTGTTTCCATAGCAGTGACAGAACGATGGATGGCTCGCTCGCTGTAGCAGCCGCCTTTCCTTTGGCCAACCTTACTTTGTATAACATTACATTCATTGTTATCAACACAATCATTGCAGAAGTATTGCAAAACTTTGTTGCTATCACATTCTTACTTTGTTTTTGTCCCTTTGAGGCCTAATTCCTCCCATTAATGCGTACCAACCAGCTGAACAAAGAGTTCTGCTTAAAAGTTGTGGTCTACAACTCTGCTATTGTGCTGCACTGCAGGTCTACTGCAACAAGTGTAACAATGGCCTGGGCCACGAGTTCCTGCACGAGGGGCCCGCAGGGAAGTCCCGCTTCTGAATATTCTCTGATGCCCTGGAGTTCGTTCCACGGAGTAAGTAAACTGAGCCTTTTGTCACCCTTTTGCTGGCATTCGTTTCAGATCACAAGCTGCTGTGCCCTCTGAGTGGCTGCAAGCGGCACAGCAGTATCATATATATTTGCACATTTCATTTTTTCCTTCCCCTATTTTTAAATTGTAGCAATGCAAAGCTAGGAATCCGACACAACAGGTGATTTCTCTCAGGTAATGTACGAGCGGCCAACTTGCGGAATGGCGATGCAAGGAAAAGCGATGCCACACTGACTTCGCCAAGTTTAGCTCAATAATGTCATGAAACTACAGAAACCTCACAGACAGAACGCATGACACTTAAAGTACCCCCCGCCCTGACACCAGAATAGAAACCACGAGTTGTTTGTGTTGTTTGATTATCCTTCTGTATGTGAGCACTTCTTATCGATGATTAGTGAAAAACGTTGCTTTTTAAGATAATTTAATTTTGTTTTCAAGTAAGGGTGAGTGTTCACTTGAGTTGGCAGCATCTCGAGACGCCACCACTGGTATGACACAGGTCGAAACCCCGTGCAGTATTCCGCTTGTAAAGCAAGCATTGTCAGAGATTTGTGAGTCATACACAATACCACAACTAGCGCCCCCGTCACTTTGTCATCGAGCTGTTCTCGAGGTAGTTGTGGCTGCTTATCCTAGGAATGCTTTTGCTTTTCCTGTATAGATCACTAGAGTTCACGCATACATTGAAAATTTCGTGCTATGGCAAAAAACACAGGATAATGGTTAATGTGCGATTTTGGAATTATGGGACAAAGTTGGTCAAGCTTGGCCCTTTCTGAACACGTTCAGGGGGTAATAACTGAGTCAAATTGCATTTTACCTAAAAACAAGCAACTCTTCATATAAGGCATGGCAAGCCATTGTGTTTTGCTACAGTTCGCAGCCTCACCAGATAATTTTAGTTGAAGCTATAGCGTGGCAACTGTTTGCACAATTCAGATAAGACACTAGCAAGGAACAAACACAATTTTTTCATAGTGTCATATAATTCATTTTATATGTAAATCAAACTAGACTGACACAAATAACACAAATATAGCAAAGGAACAGTTCCTGGAATAAAGCCACACCTGTTTTACAGCTCATCAGGACAACTTGAGGGGCTTCATTGCTTTTTCAAAACAAAACGAAAACTTGAAAGAAATGTAAATGTTCAAGTGCGAGATACTAGCTGTCGAGTTGGAAGCTCGATCTCTACGTACTACTTCTGTGATGGCCCTTTCAAGTCTTGTGAATTTGGTTCCCTTCTAGAGCATCTCAGAACAGCAAGACCTTCGCCGATCAGCGTTTCTCAAGGGCTTTAAACTTTGCCTCGAGCCGTTTCGAGTAGGCGTCCAGCTTGTAAGCCACCTGCTCCAGCTTTGCGACGCTCTCCTCTACCTGGTCGATCTGGTCCAGACACGGTCTGAGGAGGTGAAACTTGTCGTTCAGGTCCTTCAGGGACTTCGCGACGTTGCCGGCGATCTGCTGCATGTCGCTGTACTTGGCCACCGTGGCCTTGTTCATCTCCTCCGTTAGCCTGTAGTCGTCCAGCGTGGACGACAGCTCGCTTTGAATGTACTGCCCCGTTTTGTCAAACATCGTCGCGGCCAGTTCGTTCAGCTTGGGTGACTGGGTTGCCGCGTCGCCAGATTCCATGGCGAGACGATCCCGGCAGCGGCTCCAAAAAGCTGCAAATAGCAAGAAAAAAAAAAAACAGGAGGTATAGGAACAGCCGGGAAAGGCGTTACGTTTGAGGGCTTTAGGCAGCATGCCGCAATTCAGACAAGAGTTAGCGCTGCTGATGCAAATGTCTGGCACCAGACATTTCTCTCTCGAGTGTTCCCGCTCGTCATGCGACAGTTTCTCGCTATAACAAAAGCCAACAGACAATGAAGCCAAGGAATATCCATGGGACATTATTTGTAGTCTCTCTAATTAAACTGTCATAATTATGACATAAGTGTTTAAAGTTGACGAAAAGACAACTTGCCGACAACAGCGACCGAATTCGCAGTCTAAGAACAATGTGCCTGACACTTTAACCTCCACCCACAGTGAGGTCTCCAAAGTGATCCTCACCACCCGAATACTGTTTGATATGCACCTAAGGGAGAAAGCGTGCATGCATCTGCACTATGAATAACATCACTGTTCAGTCAATCTTTATGCTTTAAGGCAATGAAACATGCAAAATACAGAACAGACATGAGGAAGCAGTGCTGTGTCCTCGTGTTTTCCTTGAGCATTTAAAATATCAGATGTGCTGCACCAGCTAGACGACCAGTCAGTTTCACTGATGAAACTTGGAAAGTGCACTTCAAGATTGGGCTCTACGGCAGTAGTAATGAAAGATATGACTGTAAAACGCTCAAGGAACAATAAACATACATGCATACGGGTTAAATTAGAGCTCAAAATCGGTTTCAAACCCCGTTATGTTTAGTGTTTTTAATTTGCATATTTTTTGAACTTTTATACAAGTGTATTCTTTTGCTAGGATCTGCTGAGCATTGAAATTCAGCAAGAACGCAGTCTACTAGTGCTTTACAAAAGTGAAACTAAATTTGCTAGTATTTAACGAAAACGGAAATTAAGTTTTTTTTTTTACGTTTGTCAGTGTATAAAAATTTATCTTGAAATATTTGCGCAGGCACACGGAGATACAGAAGAGATGCGCAAACTGGCACAATCTAACAACTGGTTTATTTTTTGAAAACGTTCCCTTAATAACCCTCAGATTAGGGTCATTAAAATAATTATTGATACGCAGCAATTTGTACGAAAATTCTCGCATATCAATGATTTCTTTAATACTAAAAAAACACTAATACACCTAGGCTACCGATTCTAGCTCCAGTTAAGTAAATGTCACTGCTTGACAGATGAGAGAAATTTTGTTTGTTTACACCTGATAAATCCCAGGGGTACACGAACTTCAAAAAATGTTGTTTTGAGAACAATGCAGAAGTAGGGCTGCACGCACATTTACCGTCAAGGCGAAAAAAATACCTAAAATTAATTTTGATACCACAAGTGCCCAGTTGTGGTACATTTTCTGAAAGATGAAGAAATTTTCCATCAGGTGATCGCAGAATCTGAATTTTGGATTTCTTTTTTTTCACCAAGGCAAGTTTCATCCCACCTCAATGATTTATGTAGTCAACTTGCACCATTAGCCTGGTCACCACAAGTGTGCTCAAAGTATCATGCATCTCTTTTCATAGAAGCTTTCTAGATACACACTTACAGGGAGCAGTATTATAAGACACCGCAAACTGAAGCAGTACTATCTTCAAGCTCTTCCAACATTTCAAACCCCACTAAACTTGACAAATCAAACACTACTGCGGTCTTGCATGCCATAACTGCTATAGTAATAATAATATGTAGCATTTAACATCCCAAAACCACCATAAAATTATGAGATACGCCGTAGTGGAGGGCTCCGGAAGTTTTGACCATCTGGAGTTCTTTTAACGTGCACCCAAATCTGAGCACACGGGCCTACAGCATTTCTGCCTCCACCGAAAATGCAGCCGCCACAGCCGTGATTTGATCCCACGACCTGCAGGTCAGCAGCCGAGTACCTTAGCCAATAGACCACTGCGGCAGGCCCATAACTGCAGTTTGTTTAAGGAAAGTCACAGTGAGGGTTACTGAAAAAATACGTCTACCTGGAGTTTTTCAACATGGACCTAAGAAACAAAGTGTACGATTTTCACCCAACCTGAACAAATCCCACCAATCCTTCATAACCATACTGTGGTTTTGAGACGTCAAGCCTCACAGCAAATATTAAACTGATCCCTCCAGATTCCATGATAATGACAAATAAATACCAGGCTTGTTCCCAACACCTGTTGTTTTTTTCCACAGGTCGTGCCCATCAACTCATGACATCAATGACAAGTGGCTCCGGAAATTTCGGCCACTTTGGGTTCTCTAATGTGTCTATACAGATACATCGCAACTGCTTTGACAAACTATTTTTACAAATTATAGCTACATCAAAGTTAGATCTCCGCTGCTTCTTTTTATGCATTATGCTGATCTTATGCAACATCATTTAAGCATGCTTCTATTTCCTTGCTGTGATTCCTTTTGCTGCTTAGGCCGAAATATTGGCCTGCAGTATTACTAAAACGAAAATCAGTGTCCCATGAATGCTCGTGATAAGAACCCAAAATAAATCGGCACTGGCAGCTCCATAACAAGCCGACAAAAAAATTCAATAAGCACTTCCTACAAAGCTGTTTCTCTTTCGCATTCCAGAGGCAAAATCCAATCAGGCAAACACCAATCAGACAGATGCAACCGGAAGTGCTAAGCCAGGTGCCAAGCTGGCCGAAAAAAAGGGCTCCACATCATCTACAGAGGCACCGGGCGAACAGCTCGTAAAGTCCAAGGTTAAAGCAAGCGGCAAAGGCAAGTCCACGATGATGCAGACGGGCAACACTGAGCCGGCCAAACCCGACACAAAGCCCGAATCCAAAATCAAGCCATCCGGCAACGTCCCGCAGGCCAAGCCCTGACCTGAGCCAAAGAAATTTGACAATTCTGTGCAATCCAAGGGCCAAGGCAAGCCCGAAATGTCGGCGACGGAACCAGTCGCGGGATCATCGATTCAGAAGCCGAAGCCGCCCAGCAAGTCTAGGTCGGCTACGTGAGGCAAGTAGGAGGGCGAATGGCAATTGCTACTCGTTCCCGCTTGGGCATCAAGCCGCATTGGTGGACCGTTCACTTCCTAGCAGATGAAGCCTGTTTGAAAAAGCCTTACTGGGTCACAAACAGACGGAAAAGTGGGAAGCAACGATTCATAAAATAAATTATTCAAAATGCTACTTCGTGTGCTGCATATCTGACACAGGTTTCTTAGTTATCTTTGGCTTATTCAATGTCGCTTAATATTTATCCAATTTCTTAGGCACAGTGGCAATTGTATGCAACTATCTGGTAATTCTGTAAACGGATAATAACGAAACACGAGGCTAGACATCTGTAAAGTATAATGTGCCTTTCGTTGATGCTGGGGCTGAAGGCGATGAATTATGGCACAGCCATCTGTAAAAGGGTGAGGAAGCGCTTAAACACACACGCATTACAAAATTGATAAATTATGAAGAGAAGTTAGCAACTGTAGCACGCCTGCTACAGTTAGCAAGTTTACCAGCGTGCTGTCTAAAGCTTCTATGCAAACTTCACGATGACAGCCCAACACATACAAAGTCATGCGTCGTCTACAGACTTCACAAGCAGCACATAGCAGACTGACCTAGTTTAATGCACTGGCTGTTGGTACAGCACTGAAACAAGGTTGAGAGCTCACTCCTTTAAGAAACGGCCCCTGCAGCAAGCAGATTGACTTTTGTGCTGTCTATGGCTTCAACGCAAACTTTGCAGTGAGTGTCCAAACGGTACAAAGGTAAGCGCCGTCTGAGAGCATCGCACAAAGTTCACAAGCAGCGACGACAAACCGACCTAGCTTGATGCAGAATGTTTCGTTGAAGCTGTGTTGGCAGTCGAGGCAGGGCTCTCTTGAGCGGCTGTGTCTTTAGTGGCAGCCGGGGCTTGGTTGCCGAGGGCTTCCGCCTTGTCGTACCACAACTGGTAGCCCCGTCTGGTGGGAAACCGCTTAACAGCGCCGCAGTGAAGGCACTTGACGACGAGGCGCTGACCACGTCCAGGTGAGGCTGCGAAGGTGCGTTAAGCATTGGGTCTCCAAGAAAAGTCAAGAGTCTAGCACAGTTCCATCACCTTCTAGCTTCACTCTTTAGTGATGGAGATCACAGCTTATCATTTTATCCCTTCTAGTGCTGCCCGGCATGAAAAAATGCGTCGGGGGAGGCCCAATGCACGTCAGAGACAGGTATATAGAGTACAGTTCTCGTAAAGTGAAATGAAGAAATTCAGAGCTGAGTTATGCCCGTACTTTCGCATTGACCATCGAGAGCTCATGCAATATTGTAATTTTGACTTGAATATTTGCACAAGAGCCAACATTACTTTGTCAGCCAGATTTGCAGTGACACGAAGCTTTTTTCACGAACTGCTCATAGCAGCTGTTACACCAAAAAAAGAGTAATCTACAGGTTAGGAACAGAGGAAAACTACAGGCATTATACAGTGTCATATCAAATTATGACAAAGTTTGCTTACAATTTACAGTAATTAATTATTCATGTCACTGATAATAATTGCAGAAAAAATTATGATAAACATGAAGAGGCTAGGAAAGCAGATGTGAAGGAAATTTATGAAGCTGTCAGCTGAAAAATGATATTCCATTTCATTTGTATTTGCTTCGTCTATATCAATACTCATACTGCTTGGACTTCCGCAAGGTTTGCAGTAATGAATAAAGAAAAGAAAGAAAGAACGTCTGCACCTTTGCGTCTCGCATCTCTCTGTCCTCATCACTTCATGCTGCAAGAACTCTCCAAGAACTACATCAAGGTCAAAGCAGCCTTTTCACGTAATGTGTTCTGCAAATGCGCGCTTTACTTCCAAATACTACATTATAACACCTAATTCCACTCACCTCTCAGACGTTCGGTGCAGGTGACTCCAGGGAAAAGTAGGACACTACATTTCTTGCACAGGCTGCGCTTTATGCTGGGATCGCTGCAGAAAGGCACAAAGTCTTGAACTACTCAAATGAAATTGTAACGATGTCGAGTTGATGCGCTCAATGTCATGACAACATTTTAGGACTACTTTCAAGCCTGCACAGGAAAGGTTTCCTAAATTAAGGGTGCTTATGCTTATAAAGGCATGTAAAACGACTTGTCATGCTCGCTGCTCAACAATTACACAAGTTCATTTATAGCACGCAACCATTCGCATTGCGCACATAATCTAGCACGTTCCTACACTTCATAAACACTAACAGTGTTCAGTTATGCGGTCAACTCATTCACCTAGCTGTCATGTCGGTATAGTAATAGCTCGCTGCACTGTCTGCACAACCATAACTTGGTCTAGCTGCACTGATGATCGCTGCAACCAAGCCCAAGTTATCTGAGCTGTGGTTGTTTGCAACCACAAGCAAAATACGCTTGCCAACTTGTCGCCAACTAGCGAGAACACGGACATTGCCCCCTGCGGACGAATGATGGGCAAGAGAGAGAAAGCGACTATTCTGCGACAAACTGAACAAAAAACAAACAAACAATAGCACCAGCGACGCTAATTATATGAAACTACAAACTCGTAGCGCTCACAGTTTAGCTTGGACGCGCCGGGATATCATGTGCAGCACATGACCGTAGAAAGATGCAACCCTGCCCGCTGAAGGATCCTGTTCCAAAACTTTGTTCGCAACCTGCGGAGGAAATTAAGGATTAAGGTCCAGCAAGAGAATGTCTCTGAGAAGCGATCTCAGGCGTTTTAGCAGTTGCATAACAAATACAAACACGTTACCTGATACAGAAAGTTCATGCGATGAAAAGCGTCTCCGCCTTTCATAAGCGACATCACACTTGGCTTGCCCGTTGACTGCGCTTGGATAAAGTGCTCTAGAAAAGAAGCTAGTTCTGGTTTCAGTCGAGTGTGTTAGTTACATCAGTTGCATCGCCAAGTGATGAGGCCTTTGACAAGGCCGACAATGCTATGCCAACGCTCATTCAATGTAGGTCTCCAGCTAAACAATAAACTCAATGCGTCCAGCCCCTAAACATCGTCACAACTGCTCTCATGCTTCACTTCTCAGAACGCCATGACATTTCGCATTCTGAGGCAAAACAGGTAATTGAAGGCCACCACACACAAAATGAGCTTGGCATCCTCAGCAGACATAATTGTAATCAAGGGATGATCATACGGTAATTCCAGCTATACTCTTCATTGGACACCACTTCAAAATATGCCTTTGGTATGCCATACTTATAGGCGTGAGAGCACGTCGCCTCTTTGGGCCGGTGACAACCACAGGGTTTGTTAATATTATAAGAAATATAAAAGAGTGTCATACAGGCTTGTTCAAAAATATTGTAGTAGCTGACATTGCTCAGCTACCTTTAATGTAATATTTGCATTAGTTTTACCGAGAACTGTATAATTAGCAATGTTGCTTTGCGATAAGGTTGCCTCTTTGACAAAGAGAGCGCCATCTGGCTCACACGCGTGCATAAAAAAAACGTAAAAATAAACTTGCATGACCAGCAATGAGGCCAACCTATGCATCATTATTATGCTCATAAACTTTAACGAGACTTTAATTAGATTATTTTTGTGCAAAACATGTTGTAAGTTATTTGTTGTGGTGCTGCCACACAGTGCTTAGTTGTAAAAACAGTGTCATTATTTGGACGCAGTTTCACGGCAGCGTGAAACGTGCTCAAACTTACTAATGTATCTAGTGTCTATAAGCATGACTTGTGCTTGACTTTTTAATTATTCAAAGGCTGTGGGCATTAAATTTAAAGTTTGTAGTAAAAGCTTGATGTAAATTGTGCTTTCAGATGTGAAGTGCTGTTCAATGGCGTTATTCTTTGTAGTAGGAATACTTAAATGTAATTTCTATTGAGCTGTTGACCAGCACCATATGCACGGAAAAACATTGTGGCTATATATATGAAGTCAAAATGTAAGGTAGTGTACTTCCAAAGTACATATACTAAAATTGGAACGATACAGAGAAGATTAGCATGGCCCCTGCGCAAGGATGACACGCAAAATCGTGAAGCGTTCCACATTTTTTTTTTTTGTTATTTTGCTAGTAATATTTTATGGAATTTAACGTTCCAAAACCTCGAGAGCCGCCGTGATGCAGGGCTCCGGTAATTTTGTTGGTCAGTGCCAGGATCGAACCTGCGCGATGCATCTTACACAAAGCGCACGAAACGCCTTGAGACACCAGGAACTTACGTCGCTTACTTATTTCATTTATTAAACATGCGTTTATTCCATGCATGATTTCGTTAGTACACGGCATTGCTTAATCGCTAGCGGGGTACGGCGCGCTGCCAAAGAAAACCGGTACGGGCATAGCCGCATTCCAAAGGATTTTCTTTCTTGGTAATTTCTTTTCTTGTGGCTGAATGGTGCCGCGCTATTGGTCGACCGCTTCGAACAGCGCGAAGTTTGCAAATTTGAACGAAGCGACCGGCCGCACTCTGTCGCGTCGGAGCGCAACGATTGTGATAATCCACCGGGTCTGAACCCAAAACATCACTTCGCGCGATCCACGACACGCAAAGGAGAGACAACCCCGCAAGATCACCAGCGGCATTTACCCATGCATCGTCGTTGGAACGGCCGGACATCGCCCGATGGCCAACCGTCGCCCACGCCGAAGCCGAGCTCCGCTCAGGTCGACGCCCGTCGAGAACGACTCCACAGGCTAGACGCCACTCGCAAGGCCTTGCTTCTTCGTCAGTGCGTTAGCGGGCGGGCGCGCAACGCGCTCTCGCCGCGCTACGACTTGAGACGGCGAGTGCTTGAGACTAACTTGAAGCGCGAGTGCCAACCCGAGTGCCGACAGTCGCGCGAGTTGGCGCTTCCGACGGCGCTCAAACCTGTGCTCAAACCTGCGCAGCCTACGCCACCAAGAAGCTTAAGGCGGTGGGGCTACTGCCACGCTTCGAACAAGGCCGGCAACGCGACGCAAGCGAGAAATCACCAACTCGAGCAGCGCCTTCAAGATCTCCACAAGTCGCCGGCTTCTGGGAGTGCTGATCCCACGTCGCGGTTTGTCACTCACGCGCGGTGCCCTCAGCCGGCGAGTCCGCTGCTCCACTCGGCAAAATGCGGTGCCCAATTGACCGCAACCCCTCGCAAGTTGGGATCGCCCCGAAACTTCGCCGTCGCCAGCGCGGCAGCTATCAAAAAAAGACTGCGCCGCAGCTGGTCGTACCGCGAAGCGATTGCCGGAGACGCGCCGACCGATGAGCAGCTAGAACAGTCGCCGAAGCGGCTGAGGACAGAGCCCCTCGAGCCAGCCGCTGAAGCTGCTACCTCAAAAGGCCAACAATCAGCTGCAGCAACAATAACGCGACCCATGCTGGCGAAGAGATCGTGCAGGGTCCAACATGGAAAACCGTTTGCAATACCGACACCACCCGTCATAATACACGAGGCTCCTCGAGGCACCTTATTTCCACAACACGCCACTCAAGGCAGTTCAACCTCATGCACAACCTCAATATCACCCGCAATGGGCCAGTGCTTTACTAAGTTTACCGGAGCCTCATCTGCACCTTGCACAAGATCCCCTACAGGTCCTCATGGAACATGGAAAATCTCTTCAATTTGTCAGAATGTGCAAGGCGGAATAGTTACTCCAATGGTCTCTCCGTACCACCACTGCATCGAAGCAATCGTACCTCTTTCGCCATCAGTGATGACACAAGGCACACAAACATCGCCGAAGAGGCTGCGGAGGAGGTCATCTCTGAAGCGCGCTTTCGAGCGACTTTTCAGCAGCGGCAAGGAGAATGAGACAAACACATCACGAGACTCTGTGTTGAAGAACGCCAAGGCAAAGGTCAAAAGGCGACCGTCTCTAGTGGAATCTCTTCTGCTTAGACGCAATGGCAACAGTATGGAAAGCCAAGCCAAACCCTGCAGGCGGTCCACCGAATGTGTGGGTGTGTTAAAAGATGTGGTTGGTTCGACTCCATGTAGGAAGAAAGCCCGAAGAGCTCACAGCCTGCAGTTGAAGGCGCCCGAGTTTGATTCGTGGGGATAGCGACCATGCTTGACAGGCAGTTTCTCGGCAATCTCATTAATTAGTACACTGAATGCTCACATTACCAATGTATTGCAGCATTTCGATCCGTGATACAATGCAAATGTGGAGTAATAGTTCAGATATTACACACTGGCTGCTGGAGTTATAGGTTCTTGAACTTGTTCTTGGCTGTTACAATGCAGAGCTCTAAAATCTTACTAAGTGGCTCACAAGCAAGTCGTGACTGAACATGATGTACAGGTGACAATGCAATTGTCTGCTATGTCACCTCGATGCATCAGAGTTATTTTGTTTGCCTTCTAGCAGAAGTAGTTACAATCAAAAGGAGGTGGGCTGGCACTGAAGCTATGATGGTACTCAATAATGATATTTAATATGTACTTGTAAGACAATAATCAAGACCTAATGATAAACTATCTTGTCCAAATATTTGGTCACAGCTGCATTTGAAATAATGTGCAATAGTCGTTATTCTTGTGTCTTTCCTTCGTGAAGTGCAATTCCAAGTTTTGTTAGCTCTGCCCTGCAGTTCCTATGCTGAGGTGTACCAGTATTTTTCACAAGGGTGCAACAAGAAGTTCCTCGCCATTGCCTGCACAGTCGGCTCACAGTTTACTGTTATGCCACAAGTGCCTGAATGCTAGCCTTGCCATGATGCATTTCTTTCGCACAACAAAAGAGGGTTGATCAAATTATTGCAACATTTTCTCATTTTACCTCTAATAAAAGTCTCATTTTTGTTCTAAGCATTGTCTTTCTTGTTACAAAGCAGCTAACTTCAAGCAAAATCTTCTGTACAACTTGACTGCACCAGAATATTTGTAGCAAGAGGACCCTATGCAAGTTTCTGAAGAAAAATGCCAAACAAAGATAAAGAAAATTTTCTTGTACCCAGATTCGAACTTGGCACATATAACCACTTGATGGGAGAGAGAGAGTAAGAATAAAAGAAAACCAGGTAGTTTAACCTGTGCTGAGGAAAGGAGGAGGAGATAGAAAAGGAGAGAAAAGTCACTGTTTTCACCCACATGTTTCAGTACTTAATATCACAAGTGGAGAATCAGTCTAGTATCTTTCAAAATGCACAACTGTGATGGGCCACCCCATGGTCCCAATCTAATAACGTTGGGTCCCAATATTTTCTCGACAGTGAAAGCGCTTCTGTCCAGGTGATCTAAAGCATTACAGAGGCGAAGCCTCTCGTTCAATTCAGTCGGGCAGTAGCACAAAAGGTGCTCAATTGTTTCATCTACAGTACAGTCGTTGCACTCAGCATCGTCGGCCTTCTCCATCTTAAATGAGTAGACATTGGTGAATGCTGCACCCACATACAAACAGCACAACACCATCTCCTTCCTGAGAAAGACCGGGTAGAAGCCGCAGTCATAGAGATTGGTCAAGAAAATATGGTTCATATCGTTACGGGGAGAAGGCGTCTAAAAAATACTTTTATATAAACAGGCAGGCATACAATATGGAGCCCAGTCTGCATGAGCTCGCACTAAACATCGTCCTCTTCCAGAGCCTCTCTACTTCTTCGTTTCGGACCCTGATGACGCGGAATACCACAGAGGACCTGCGCGGTTGGCAGTCGCCACCCAACAAAAGTTGACCGTTTGGCTGCTTGTGTTAGTGATTTCGATGCCGGCCTTGAGAACTTCTATTCCATGCTCACGCTGCGGATACCTAAACGTTAACATGTCCTCCGGTTTGAACGACAGCGCAGGCCCGGACGTCGGCGCTCAACGCATCTTCGACTTATTTCAAAGCGCTGGCCACTTTCTTCGTGGAGTCTTTAATTATGGCGCACATCAGCGGCAGCCAAGCGTTCACCGCGAACTCGAACAGGACCGCGCACCACTCACATAACAATATAACATATAACAGATCTGATGACGATATCGATAGCCTGTGAACCATGATGTCTGCCTCTTTTAAGATGCGATGTTCTGCACCAGCTTGCTTAACTGCATACATCCTTGATAAATGTATAAAAACTAGGTTTGTTTCACCATGTGCTTTCCTGGCAACCTCGTCAGTGAGGAGATGCCATGCAATGACTCGGTATCCACTGAAACACAATGCTTGTTCAGTAACATAGTGCAGCATTTCTCTTATCTCCCACACGAGCTGTTCATAGGATCCACGACGTAGTGCTCACAAGACATTGTAGTCGCCTTTGAGTCGCAACCACTCGATAGGGGTCAACAGTGCAGTCAATTATTGAAAAATTTGTTGAAGCGCACTAAAAAACGGACGGACAGAAAAGGCTGAAAAGGACCGCGCTTGCTCTCACAACTGAAGGTTTATTATGCAGAGAAGGTATTTAAAGCGGATACATGGTCTTTTGCGCATGTGCATCAGAACAGGGTGCAACAGAAACCACTCTTTTCAGGATTACAAAAATTGTACATATTGCCACGATGATTGCGGTGGGCTACTTGAACGAATGTTACGATACATGCAAATGTTACGATATTATGTATCATTTGTTATATTTTACAAGTACTAGGTGTCTAGATACGTGTACTCTTTATCATGCAGCACAATCTTAGCTTGGCTAACACAGTCATGTCCCCTCTTTCAAATGTGGTAGGATTGCACTATCTCACGTGTTAGCTGATCTTTGTGTCGAAATAATATTTTTGTTTCTTTAAACACAGGATAACATCCACAATTTCTACGGTGATCTGCAAGATGACTGTTGCCTGATGCCTTAATAGATGCACGATGTTCTTGAAGGCGGTCGTTCACGCACCTTCCTGACTGGCCTATGTAGACTTTTCCACAAGAAAAGGGCATCACATATACTACTCCCTTTACGCACTTCACGAACATGTTTCTGTGTTTTACGGAGCAAGCTTTCGAACCTATGGGATTATTAACGCGTGGACAGAAGCTTGCTAGTTTGGTTTGTGCCGAAAACTTCATGTCTATGCTGTATCTATTTCCAATGTGCTTGAGGTTGTGTGCCAACTTGTGCACTTATGGAATGACAGTCATTTTCCCTCGCTTCTCAGTCTCCGAACTGGATCTTTGTTTTTTACCCTTTATTTCTCTGGCTAGCACCGTGCACACTGAGAAAATTAAATGTTTCGGGTAACCCGCTTTCTGGAATTTTTCCACCCGACTCCTGAAACTTTCACTGATTAGATGCCCACATAATTTCTGCAAAGCTGACATATTACAAGACTTCACTAGCGCCCTCTTTACCAACTTGGAGAGCTCCAGACGCATAAAATAGCTCTGGCTTGGCACTTCTTGGTTGATAACACCAACAAATGTGTTCCCTACCAAGTTCCAATTTTAAATCCAAGAATGGCAACTTGTTATTTTTAGGCTGCTCGGTAGTGAACTCAAGGCCCATGCTACTTTCCGTAAACACCTTTAGCACGTTCACTACCTCTCGGGAAGGATCAATGCCATGTGTGAATATCAGGAAGTCATCCACACACCTGAAGACATGTTTAACAATTCCAGAAATGTGCTGCTCAATTCCCCTGTCAAATTTACTCAAAAATATTTCACTAAGAATATGTGCTACTGATGAGCCTATACATATTCCAGATCGCTGAATGAAAGACTTGTTTTACCACGAAACAAAAGTAGACCTTAAATAAAACGATAGCAGCTCCAGGAATGACTCACGTTGACACGGTTTTTTTCGCAAAATTTCATTTTGTCATTCTGGGTAGTAATGCAGTCCTTTACGAACACCATCATTTTCTTGTGAGGTATGGAGTAGAACAAATCTTGAATGTCAATGCTGAAGGCATAGCTATGACATGGATTACATTCTGAAAAAAAAAACTTTGTCTGCCGATTGCATTGAATTTTTTAGACGATAAGGATCATCCACAGTAAGGCCTTCCAAGTTTCTCTGCAAATAACTAGACACCACTTTTTGCCAGGTATCCCTCTCGGAAACAATAGCCCTAAGCGGTAAACCGTGCTTGTCTGTCTTGATTGAAAAGAACACCTCCTACTCGAGTTTTTTCGCCCTTTTCACCCGAGATGCCAGATCATGTAAATTCATATCTTTTAGGAAAGACAGCGCTGTTTTTACGACATTCTTGCTTACTTCTCGGGCTGGTACAAAATTCCCTTTTATCGCTGTAACACCCTTTTCACAAAACGTCCCTCTATCCAGAATTACAAAAAAGCCTTCTTTGTCTGCCACAGCTAAGCGCAACTCATTCTGAACTAGAATTTGACATACGGGTTTGACTTTATCTTGAGTCTTAAGAACGTCTCTAGTTGAAGCAATAACGTCCACGCACTCAGCAATGCACCTTGCTTTCTCGTTGTCGGGCGCTTGCCTGGATACGGTCTTGGCAGTGGCAAGCTTCTCTGCGTGGTTCAATGCAATGCTTTGGCTCAAACGCCAGAAGCTGCGTGAAGACTTGAGGAACCTGCAAGTTGCTCAAGTTCAGAACCTGTCCTTGCTTTTCCGGCGTCTTTTTTTCTTTTTGGCAAATGAGGCATCACCATTCGCCACAGTCCCTCCGCTGTTGCGTCGCTGGTCTCGCACCACTCCCTGTATGATCGACGTCAATCTTGTCCTTTTTTCCGGCTGCACGCTATTCCGAGATGGTCCTTGAAGCAACAGACCTACCACGATAGCTCAGACCTCATAAAGCGGCATACCATTTTGGTATGCCCCACAGTAGGCTGCATCCATCCAAAGAGACCCTGTAGATCTGGCGGGCACGGTATCTGACGAATGTACCATGAAGCAACCCTTACTCTGCACACCGTGACAGCGATTACTGAAGCCAACCAGGCTGGGTCAGACAAAACATTAGGTCGTAGAGTGCCCCGAGTACTAGAAATATATTGCAGCAAGATGGCGAGTTGGGCCAAACGGATTGCGTTCATAATTGAAAATTTTGTTGAAGTGCACTAAAAAACGGACGGACAAAAGAGGCTGACAAAGACAGCGCTTGCTCTCACAACTGAAGGTTTATTATTCAGAAAAGGTATTCAAAGCGGATACATGGTTTTTCGCACAAGTGCATCACAACAGGGTGCAACAGAAACCACTTTTGTCAGGAATACAAAAATTGTACATATTGTGTATCATTTGTCATGTACAAGTACTAGGTGTCGAGATACACATACTCTTTATCATGCAGCACAATCGTAGCGCGGCTAACATAGTCATGTCATTAACGCATCTTCCTGACTGGCCTCTGATCAATAAATAATGCAATGGTGTAAGAACGGTAGTGCATTGGAATGCATACGAGTAGATGCAAGTGTACATGTGAATACAAATAAGGCTGCTGGTAATGCTGAAAATGAATAGATAGGACCATGTGTCGGCAAAAAACGTAACCCAACTGGCCCAAACTAGCAAGCTTGTGTCCACGCGCTAATAAGCGCATAGGTTCGAAAGCTTGCTCCGTAAAACACAGAAACATGTTCGTGAAGTGCGTAACAGTAGTAGTATATATGACGCCCTTTTCTTGTGGAAAAGTCTACATAGGCCAGTCAGGAAGATGCATGAACGGTTGACCGCCTTAGAGAACATCGCGCATCTGTTAAGGCATCAGGCAACAGTCATCTTGCAGATCGCTGTAGAAACTGCGAATGTTATCGTGTGTTTAAAGAAACAGAAATATTGTTTCGACACAAGGATCAGCTAACACGTGAGATAGTGGAATCTTACCACATCCGAAAGAGCGGACATCACTGTGTTAACCAAGCTACGATCGTGCTGCATTTTAAAGAGTACGCCTATCTCGACACCTAGTACTTGTAAAATATAGCAAATGATACATACTATGTACAATTTTTGTAATCCTGACAAGAGTGGTTTCTGTTGCACCCTGTTCTGATGCATTGGGCAAAAGACCATGTATCTGCTTTATATACCTTTTCAGAATAATTGTCGAGAATCGACACTGCAAGGGGCCTTCACTCGTTCGCTAACACCATGTCGGAAACTTGGCTGAGTGACCCCAGTGTCAGGAACCGCCGCCTACACAAATTGGACCCATCGAGAAAGCTTCAAGTTCCATCGGACCTCTCCCGCCAAGATGCAACTTTACTGTGCCGCCTGTGGTTAGGAGTAGCTTTTACAAAGGCGTACTCCTTTCGCATAGGAATGGCGGATAGCTCCCGATGTGAATCGTGCGACACTGACGAGACAATAGAACATCTACTGTGTTCATGTGAACGTTTTGCAAGCGAACGCAATTTGCTACGCGAAACGTTGGTTCTAAAGACGACCGGACTACGCGACCGCTTATAAGCGTGCAATGGACAAGGTCACACCTACATACATGTTGCCCTTCACTTCTCTCTCTCTTCTCCTTTAATCCCCTCACCCCTTCCCCCAGTGCAGGGTAGCAAACCGGACATGCGTCTGGTTGACCTCCCTGCCTTTCATTTCTTCCCTTCCTCCTCCTCCTTTTCAGAATAATAAACCTTCAGTTGTGAGAGCAAGCGCAATCCTTTTCAGCCTTTTCTGTCCCTCCGTTTTTTAGTGCACTTCAACAAATTTTCAATTATGAACGTAATCCAACTAGCCCAACTTGCCATCTTGCTAGAGTCGATTAACTGGAAAACTAGATGAAGGCTTTAAGTGCTACTTTCATCTAATGCACAAGTTTTAAAGGCATCAGAAGCTTAAATTGTATAAATGCCAGGCTGTAGTTCAAGACTGCTTGAAGCGAAAGGTGGTTGGTGATTCCTTCAAGCTGTGTTTGAAGAGGGAATTTTAGTTTGTTCATTGCTTTCCAACGCTTGTGGATACTGGGTTGCCAGAGCCTTAGACAGCAGCACCGGAGCTCACAGGAGACATCTTGTGAGTACCTTCCAAGTAGAGTACATTAAAAACTTATTTTAGTTGAGTCAGTCTTCCCATCTAAGCAAAGCAACGACAGTAGCATGAGTTGATGATTATCTCACTGAGGATGCTTAGCAACACCCTTTAATTAAGACATCTCAGTCACTGCAACAGTATCTGCTTCGCGTGTTTGTGGTTGGCCTCTGCATTTTCAGGTGTTGCTACCAGTGCTGCCTATCACATACACTTCACCAGTAAACTGTAAAAACAGAAATTGTAAAAAGTATGCGGGCAGTCTAAAAATTCTCATTTCAATGTTGGGAATAAATGTCTGAAGACAACCTTCGAAGGTCGTAGATTCGGCCCACGCCTACGGCAAAGTTATCTTTTCGTCCACATTTCTTTTTTCACATTTACATTGCACCTACTTACAACAACGTCCCCTATACTTTCCCTGGCATGATTGTCCATTGGGTCTCAAAAATTTACTTAAATATTCTGCATTCAGAAATGCAAAGTTTGTTTCAGCTTGATCACAAGAGTAATTCACATATTACCAGAAACACAGACAGCGACTGAGCCTCATAAGGCCTGCCTGGTTTTCACACGCCACTACTTACGTGGAGCCGCGTGCCACACATACAAACTAGACCACACACACTGCCTGCAAGCGTAGCATATGTTCAGATACACGAAAAAGAAAATGCCTTGGTTCGGATAGGCAAAGTGCACTCTGAGAACTCTATTGTCACATGTTTCTCTATCGTAAGTTCTAACTTTGACCTTGATGTTAGCGAAGGAAAATAAATCTTGAAGGAAGTATTGAGGAACTATTGTTGAAGTTTAAATTTCATATATTGCACCGAAATAGTCATGCGTAGCATCAAAAATTTTAAAATGCATTTTTCATATTTTTGCAACATTGGCACGATGACATTTTCTGGAACTACATATGCTAGGTCTAAGGCACCCACAGATGAAATTGTACTTCATTTTTATCTATTAACAGCTACCCGCAGGACCCAGTAGACCCTTTAAAAACCTATAAGGTCGTGGTGTTTGGCGCAGGAGTGTCAAGGAGGCCTTTCCATCCGTATTTTATTTTGCGTGTTTCTTTGCTGGCATCACATTAGGGTAAGAGTTGCGTTTTCAAGATTGCAAAATTGTACTTTACTAATATGCAAATTTTTTTTTGCTTTTCATGCACTGGACAGCCATATGCATGGAGCAACGTAAGAAACTGTTTATTTGTTTCATGAAATCCTAATGGTTTATCGCAAATATCAAATAAAAAGTCTTGACTATCTTATGTCATAAAGGCAATGATGGCAACAACATGAAAGATTTTTACAACTGAAATGAAAGATGACAACTCAGACAACTGGTCCTCCAAAAACGTTAACACAATACAACATGCCACAAAGCACATCTGGCACACACTTAAAAAGAAGCATGCTTCCATCAACTCCATTAAAAAGGAATATTGCAAAACAAACTGAGGTAAGTTTTCAATCGCCTCTGCAACTACAAGAATTTGTTACCTACAGTTGCACAGAGTACAGCAGTCATCAGTCCTTCTGATGTTCATTACAATAAGTTCTTATGGCATATTATAACCATAGCCCTAAGGTGCAGGTCGCATTGTTTCAAGAACTTTGCCAATCGTGCACACATACCCCCGATACTTCAATTTATGCCACTCAGACAGACCAGGGTAACCGGCTCGCATAATAATATACCCCGACACAACCAAATGCCTGAAACGAAAACGGTACTGTAAACTAATATCTTCCTGAATGTATACAACCTGCATTCACTTTCGGAAGCCGCCTTTCTTTAAACAATGAACTTAAAACGAAAAACACGACCATCTGAAAGCTGCCTTGAACGATGCTGGACACTATGATGACCGGCCAGCTACAACTTGCCTAGTTCAGTAAAGAGCTGCTTGAGACTGGACATGTCCGTAATCTTTTGCACAGTCAGTACCACCTGTCTTTCACCCACGTACACACTCACTCGTCGCTCCCGGTCGAGAACAACCTTCTTGCAGGTATTCGTGTCGGGCCCATTGTTCCAAACCAAGTGCAGTTCGCTGTCGTCCAGGCTGGAATCCCAATGCATGTCTGGGACGGGGCACGGCAGCTGCTCTTCAATGTCTGCGAGTGTGAGCTCGTAGTCGTCGTTTGCCACGTCCCCACCACACTCTTGTGGTCCCCTCCCATTTGGAAATGACAATGAATTGTTGGCGCAAGACGCGAGACCGTTTGGCGGCGTCTCGCACAAGGCCGCGGCCGTCTGGGATTTTTGACCTTCGACCTTGATGTCCCCAGCCGCTTTTTCCAAGGGGAGATTGATGAATATTTCGTTCATCGGCATGGGGGGCGTCGTGCTTGACGGAGCTGGGCTCCGCACAACTCTGCCGACAACTTGCGGCAACGGTGTCATCTCATGGCCTTTCGTGATGGATACCGTCGACACTCGAGTCTGGGATTGCGTCGCGACAGTGCCTGCGGGTACTGAGGCGGTCACGGGTGTTGCTGGTGCAATTTTGGTGACGTAGTTCTTGGAGCTGTTGCTCTTTGAGGTCGATTTCGGATTCCTGGATGGAAGGGCGCCCTTTTGTAGACCTAGCAGGCGCTGCTGATGCCGCACAAACAAATTGTCGTGGAAGTGGCGGTAGCAGACACGAGGGCTGGCGGGACGGTTCCCGCCCAAGTCAACGGAAATCTCCTCAAGCCACAGCTTACGGGTCGGCTCGTCTTGCGGAACCGGGAACAGCCAGAGCCCATCCAGGTTGCTCAGGCCTTGCGAGGTGCAGTTCTTCACGCAGCAGATGTATCTAGTCCCACCATTGCGGCTGCGGAACAAAATGACAAAAGACGCAACTTCAATCAGGGGCCACACTGTCTAATTGGCCAATGTTTAAAGGACCACTCACCAGGCCCTATAACAAATCTTAGTTAGACCGTTGAAATGTTGCGTGTCCAACGACGCCATTATGCCATGAAATTTTTTTCTATCGGTTTATTACGAACTGAGAAAATAATTTTTTCGAAGCAGCGTGAAAAGAAGATGCGAGGAGGCGAGCTTTAAACCCTTGCCGCTCACTCCCCATAGCCTTCTCAAGTCAAATCTCTTCCCTACTCGTTACGGCATCCGACCAAGATGTCAGGTGCACATGACGCGCCCGAACAAGCCCAATCTTCGAGCACGCAAGCGGCATTGTTTTGTTGGCTAGTGTTGCTTTGTGTTCCACTGGCTGTTTCTGCAGTGTGGTTTGAAAACGCTGGCTTAGACGCGGTAGAATAGATGAGCATAATGAGTGCTCGAACATGCAGGATCATTAATTTCTTTTCCAGGACTAGGCGTCTGCTTGATCTCCCAACCACGGGGACACAAACACATGCCAAACGCAGGCACATTAGCCCTGCATCTAGTTGGAATTCAAGGAAGAAAATAGAAAAGACGCACATTTTCCCTTACTGCATCTCATTTTTTATCTCAAGTTTGATTCATCTATTCAAGCAACAAATTACATAAACTACACATGTCATTATAAATATTTTCGTGGTGTCACGTCCTACTGTTTGCAACGTCATATCTCTGTCGTTTACCTAGACGACAAACGTCACAGCACTGCCACGTACGCAGACCAATTCTTACGTGCACGTCATGCTCTCAATTCTCTGGACGCGCGCCCGTGAAAGGAAGAAGAGCAGCGTTCCGTCTTGAAATTTGACCCATTTCCGCGATGTGTAGCATTGCAAACTTTGGCAGACATGATCGTGAACCCTCCAAGTATGCATTGCACTCGTCAGCTCAAAATTGTCAAACCTGGTGAGTAGCCCTTTGAAAGAAAGAAGGAGAAAAGAAACGAATGTACATTTAACACGTGCAAGTTATGATAAAGCAAATGCTACTTTTCAATGGGTGTTGTTGCAAGCCATTGCATGTGGATTTCTTATCAGACAGACAGACCTATGCAAGAATACCGACTACCTAAAGTGTCGTGGTATGCAAGCTACACTTGCATAAATGTGATGAAGGCACCTTAACATCGTGACGTGTCCATGTGCTGAGAGTTGATGACTGATTTGCCCTCATGCTGCCAATCCTTAGCATCCTCGTTAGCTCTCAAGTGGTACAGTGAACCTTCCGGGACAAGCATTGGTCCCGGGACCCTCGGACAAAGAGAAATTTCGCTCTAAATAATTCATAATAAAAATTGTTCACTCTTCACTTCCCAAAACCACCATACAATTACGAGACATGCTGTAGTGGAGGGCTCTGAAAATTTTGACCACCTGGGGTCCCTTAATGTGCACCTAAATCTAAACACACGGGCCTCAAGTATTTGTGCCTCTATCGAAAATGCAGCTGCCGCAGACAAATTTTGCTTCAACTAAGAAGCTTTCCCTTCCGGCAAAAGCATGATTTCCTCATGGCTTTGCTCTACAAATGGGTGCGTATTGTAGAAACAATCAACTGAAATGTGTCTGTGGCAGGGGGATAACTAGCAAAGCAATGAAGCGGGCCACTCCTACACTGCAGGTGGTTGAAAAAAATGCGGGAGATGATGGATCAAACAATACCTTTCTTAAACTTAGAGTACAATGAAGATGTTTAGGTCTCATTTTTTAAAGTTATTAAATGATATTAACATTCATGTGTTTCTTGATCCCGAATGTTAGTACGGACAGATCTACTTTTAAGAATGCAGAAACGAGAATGGAGACTCCAGACAACCCCCACATCAGGCGACAACTGAAAACACACTGTAAAATCACACTGTCGCAAAATATACTATAAGTGTCCATGCATGCATATGAATAAGAGTGTGATAAATAATACTCGGTTTGTTGCAAGCACTTTCGGTGCACTTCCCATCGCAATAGCAAAAATCAGGCTTCATGCCTGCTGAGAGTGCTCAAGTTTTAAATGCTTTGCTGGGTGAAGCCTGTTCACTGGACAGCAAAATAGGCATTTAGCATTTTCTTCTGGAATATGCACTTGAAATGTACTGTTGTTCCGTGGCAATATGCATATCAAGGCCACATGCTCTCAAAATGCATATGATAATGTGCAAAAGAAAAAAATGCTATACTGAAATGGCAATGGTAGCAAGTCAGAGCACGTGGGCCTTTTAAAAGAGAGACACAGACCTGTCACGCAAGAATGCTAGTTGCATGTAGTACAAAGTCGTGTTCATATATAAGGAAGTTCCAATACACACATTCTCCTGTGACGAGTGGCCACCAGCCTACAACGCTTCAAAAATCAAAATGGTCCCACTAAGGTCATTTTGCAATGCTTTACCTAGAGCAACTCATCAATCCACAGGTTTAACAGAGACCGACCAATGTTTTCACTTACGTGGGCGGTGTGATGTTTGCCTCTTCCAACCCGGTGAACCCTGGTTTGACCACGGTTATTATGGTCCCTGATGATGGCGTTGAGGCCTGCACGACTGGAGCGACAACTTTCTTCGGTGGCTGGGGAACCAATTGCGACTCATTGCAAGTGCTCGAGCTGCCCGACGAAACACGGCGCGCCCTCTTTGTTGGTGTGTGCGCAGTCTTGTGGTGGTGCTCGTCAGAGCCCAGCATGAAGTCAGGGTCGTCGGGGTCATCCATGCTGTCTGACGGTACATCGAGTAAGTCGATAGCCTCCGCTGAAAGACCCCGCACTGCAACAAAAACGGCACCACAAGCCGTGAAAGCACTATGCCAACTTCGTCGACAATCGGCAAGTGATCTTAAGCTACAGACACATACCATGTTGCTAACAGTGGTGCCACTACATTTGATTCACACTGCCATAAAATGCTCTATCTTGACACCTATGTCTGCAGCGAAATTGCTTAGTGACCAGTCTTCCTTAAAGGACCAGTGAATGACTTTAAAGTCCAAAAATTGTTGTAAAGAGAAATATGTGCAGTTTTACTTCCTGAACATGCTGCCGCAAAAATTTTGCAAATATGTGCTATATTAAGGAAGTCACAGGGGCTGGAACATGGCGTTCAGCAGGTTTCAAATTTTTGCGCGTCCTCGCCACCCCTCCCTTTCAGATGGAGGGAAAGGAGTGGCCGTCGTCGTGACTCCACCCACTTCGACAATGTGACAAGAAGTCAGCGATTGACGTCATCGGCGAACTTGATTAGTGGCAAAGCACTTACGCTTGCTGCGATACCCGGTTGTTTAGTATTTACCCGGTGTTGATGCTTCTCTGCAGCCCAGTCTCTAGATTTGCAGCAAAACTGTGTTCCGAAACCCGGACGTACAGTTGGCCATATGTTTCTGGAGTTCGATTTTTCAAGAGCAGACTGTCGTGCCATGTGTGAGCAGCAACACAAAACACAAAAAATTCTCCTAAGAGTGGGTATGCTGATCAACAGGGGTCGTGACAATCTGCTCACTCCCAAAACCTTGGTTAGTGAATGTCCTGATTTCTATCGGGGCATTCATGGACCCAGTTTGCATGGAGCCTATGGGGAGTTTCACAACTCTTATGATTGAATAACTCTGCCATAACTGTGGGTGGGAACTGCAACAGTTGTCGACATCACTGCTGTTTGTTGAGATCTGGTTTAGACAAATCGACGAGCTGCTTGCTACGTCACGTTGCCAAGTTGTCGTCACTGCGCGGTCAAGAAGTATAGGTCAGGTGTAGTAAAGGAGCGCGGGCACTGTTTTTCGAAATGGAAGCTCTGCGCGGCGCGCAGCTCTGTAATATTCAGAAAACGTGATTGCTGCAGCCTACTCTCCGAATTACCGAGCTTGTTTAGGTGGTGTAAAAAAAAAAAAAGTCTGAGCTTATTGACTGGCCCTTCAAAGGGCCCTAAAACTACGTCCGAGATATTTGTTTAGCATTTCAAGCACATGTGTGCATCGACTTCAGTATGCCACCAACGTCATCAGTGCCAAACAAGGCAGCGCTGCGTGCCACATCAGAACATAGAATAAGAAAATCCTGAACTCTTGTATGAGCCTCCGGGTATTCCCAGTCATGGTCGTGCTGTTACCAGGAGGATATGATCATGTCAGCATTTGAAGAAACCAGTTTGCTTCAATCACATACGCAAACTCCTTGCATGGTGAGGAGGAACACTTGGTCCGGAGGAGAAATGAGCGACATAACAGAGCGTAGCGAAGGTAAGAGAAGAGAAAGCAAGAGCCTTATTTCAATCATAAGACGTGCTTAACGTTTACGATTACACCACAGTTTCAGCACGGCTATTACAACGCCATTTCAAAAAACTTTTGAAGAAATGTCTTCGTTGCAGACTTGTGAACATATCAAACAACTAAACAAAATGTCAATCTCCGAATGTTTTAGAGGCCCTTAATATGATAAGAAGGTTGTTAGCTGACACTTTTTATGCCTTCAGCATTCCACTTTTGACTACAAGGTGGCAGAAAAACGCTATAGTTATGAGTGTTGTTGCTGTAATGAGACTTGGCCCTTGCATGCATATTAATCTGATCTAATATGCAAGCAGAGAAAACTAAAAGACGATTTTGCTTTTTGCATAAAACAAATTCCCTTATGTTAAGGGACACACAACCAGCAACTCTGTTGTCTAGGCAACGACACACTACAAAGTGGGCACACGTGCACTATTCAGAACACACACACACCCCATACAGCATGTTTCAGAGTGCAGTGCTTATGTGCTAATGCCAGCCTGACACATTAACGCCAGCGAGATCACAACTACCGAAAGGAAACCCCAAATGGAGCAACTGTTTCTAGAGTGTTTAGAGCACTTTACGTTGTTCCTCCACGTCGACATCTCCAAATCTTTCTACAAGAGAAATTATTTTGTAAGGCAAGGCATTCGCAAAAGACTGTACTTGAATTTGCGTGCGTCATAAGAACAATTGAAAAGACTAGGCAGCTATAAAAGACCTTCTGTTGAAATCACTGCAGTGACATCTCCGGAGCCACCTATTTACCTGTTTGATGTTTGTTTTGTGCACTGAATGTATGTATACACAGCCAATTCATAAATTATTATTGCAGTGCCTTAGTTAATTGAATGTCATACTCAATGGCTGAAATTTTTTTTTTCGTTATTTGGGCATCTTTAATATAGCTGAGTTAAGTGGTGCTCATAATACGTGGATTCATCTCAATGCACTGGCAGGCTTGTATATTGTTACCATCTCCGTGCATTTGCTATACACCTCAGAACACCGTGCACACTATGTCACATATACTGCAACAAGTGGTGCTCATAATACGTGGATTTATCTCAATGCACTGGCAGGCTTGTATATTGTTACCATCTCAGTGCATTCGCTATACACCTCAGAACACCGTGCACACTATGTCACATATACAGCAACAGTGCCTAATAGCCATGCTTTTATTCTGGTGTTGGCACAAAGCCAAAATTTAAGAAATGGTCAACCCAACACAGAACCTTGAAATGCAACATTTAACATGGCGATGTACAAGCACTTTCGATTGCGATGGTGCCGTGACAACCGTATTAGGCAGTAGACAACGCCTGCCACTACAACAAAACGGAAATAAGTACCAACACTCGCTCAACCATCTCGTGCACATTGTACTTGATTTTTTTTTACACCGCTTCAGCCAACCATCCTCACTGAATGCTAATGTTCTAACACCGCTGAACTCCCAAAGGAGTTCTCAAAAAAAAAAGTTAGGCCGATACCATGCGTTCGTGGGAATAACATATCTCGTTACACATGCAGTAATGGAGGGCTCCATGGAACTTCAACCACGTTTTGGTTGTCTAATGTGCACTGATATCGCACAGTACACGGGCCTCTGGCATTCCGCCTTCATCAAAAAGCGACCGGGATCGAACCGGCGTCTTTTGTGTCAGCAGCTGAGGGGTTCGGATTACGCCACCATGCAGTATTACCCACCGAGAGCGTCAAAAAGGAACGTCTCAAGCCACACCAGTGTGCTAGCGCAAGATAAAACCGTCATGCCACGCAGTGCGCAACGCGCCTTCCGCTTGACATCTAAATCGTCTAGAGAAGCAACGAATGCCGCTGCTGAAGGCCTCAGGTCCGTTATAACTAAACCGTCCGTTGCAAAGGCCTCCGAAACATGATGACTGGCTATATCCCATGATCCCCATCAGTGAAGCGTTTCCCACTTCTTGGTGTCATTAAACAAGCCTTCAAAATAAATTGGGACGTTAAACCCCACATATTAATTAATCAAGCCTTAAAAAAGAAAAGTCGGCAAGGTTCCGTTTGGCGTTGCATAAATCAATTGCCAGACTGTGGGGTGGTTGTTGCTAGACTGTCGCCAAATTTAGCAGATAAATTTGCCCATGTAGTTGAGGCTTTTTTGCGAGGGTTTAGTGTCGTCCGCGGTGCATTTCGCGAGTGCGTGAGCTACGTTGGCCGTTTTAATTAACAAAATGAACGTAAAACGAGCGTTGCGGAAATCGGGGAACGGGGTGCGTTTTCTTGCTGTGTGCGCAGCTGTGCAAATAAGAGATCGTGTCTCAGTTTTAGGGACGACGGGAAAAACTGAATAGTGTCGCAGCAGGCGATGCGCTGCCCCCCCACCCCCCCCCTTTTTTTTTTCACAGCTGATCGTGCCGCATCGACCACGCGCCACGACGGGGACGCTACGCTTCCCCTAGCTGTGTCAGCACAAGACATATCGTTTGGACTCGTGCACATGTGACGAATAAACGTCCCAAGGCTGGCTAATCGGGTACGTCGGATATGCTTCAGCTATATACGCCTGGAAAGCTGCTTTATCGACGCAGTTGGAGTGAATTAAGCACGACTCGCGTGTACCTGTAAATGGGACCCCGCATAAGCATTCATTATTTGGAATTTTGGTCGTTTGTGCTTATTGTGGGCGGGTCCCTACAAGCGACGGCGGCTCGTCGGCGGGGTCCTATTTACAGGTACGAGCGAGTCGCGTTCAATTCGCTCCAACCGCGTCGATCAGCTGTGGCACGATCAGCTGTGAAAAAAAAAAATGGAGGGGGAGCAGCGCACTGCCTGCTGCGGCTCTATTCAGTTTTCCCCGTCGTCCCTAATACCGAGACGCGATCTCATAATTGCACAGCTGCACACACAGCAAAAAAAAAAAAAAAAAAAAACGCGCCCCGACTTTTGTACCGCATGGTTGATTGCGTTAATTACGTCGCACACACACTCGCGAACAAGCTCATCACCCTCGCGAAATGCACGGCGGACGACACGTCGTTGATTCTCGAACTCTGAGACACGATCTCTTAATTGCACAGCAGCGCAAACAGAGAGAGAACGCGCTCCAACGTCTGCAAGACACGGTTCATTCCGTTAATTAAAATGGCCTCTTAACTGCACAGCAGCACACAGCAAGAGAACGCGTCACAACGTCTGCAAGGCGCGGTTAATTCCGTTAATTAAAGAGGCCAGCGTTGCTCATGCACTCGCGAAATGCACCGCGGACGACACCAAATTCTCACGGAGAAGCCACAACTACAGGGGCAAAATGTTCTGTCAAATTTGGCGGCAGTCTGGCAACACTGACTCCCCAAGTCTGGCAGTAATTTTTGCAACAACAAACAGAACTTTGCCGCACTCAAATTGCCTCGAAAGCGTCCGAACTTCTTGATAACACGTTCAAACATCTTACCGCAGTTGCGACGAGGCCGTGAAGACGCCATCGCCGTACACTACCGTACTAAGAACGTCCGTATACACACACAAAAAAAGAGCGTCGCACAGCACCCTGTGACTTCAATGATGGGCCATCAACCGAAGCTTTTCGACCGCTTGCACGCTTTGCTTGACGGAACTCTACGGCTTGCACGTACTTCGACGCACGCTGGGCGCTGCCAAGAGTACAGGGCGAACACAACCGCAAACCGTACAACCAGGGGTGCAACTATGCCGTTTTGGCCAACGATGGGTTTTGGCAACGCGCCAGCGCGTTGGCGAGCTGCGCCGATGCCACGCCGTGGCCGATGCGCAAGGAGAGTGGCACAAGTGTGTCGCTAGCGTCGCTAACCAAGTTCGGCCTCCGAGAATTTTCAGCCGCTCATCTCGGCCGGGTGCTCACTTTGTTGTGTCACCCACGAGGTGGGTCACCACCGAACCATTTTCCAAGACAACGTTACTTTGGCCAAGATAACTTGCACTCACTGTTTAGCCGGGGTTTATCCTAAAGCGAGCGACATGTGAGAATTGCTTTGCTACAGTAGTTAGAATAGTAATCTGCGGGAAGCTCTAGCGAGAGTAGTACGAGTGTATGGTGATGCAGTCCAAAAAAAGAAAACAAAGGGTGAAAACTGCACTTAGAAGAACCTCTCCGTAGGTTGGCTTTAAATTGATCCCTTTTCGTTGGACCTCTCCTTTGGAGCGACTGAAAAAGGATTTAGCCACAGGAACGTTTGCGAGGCCGAATGCGATTTTCTTAAGGCAACAAAACGATTAGAACGTTAAGCTGACGCATAAATTCACTTCATTTCAAACCATATTAGTCTGTTAGTTCTTTGTATTACCTCTGTTTATTTTGTTTACAATATATCGTTTACCAATTGGTTATTTGTTTAAACATCGTTACCTAAATAATCTAGCTGGTAAAACAGCTCCACCTCACAACTGAGGCACCGTCCCCGTAGTGGGTTGCGCCAGGACTCTGAGGTACAACCAACCAACCAACCAACCTTGACGGCGCTGGTTCTGGAATGTCTGAAACAACAACACGAAGCCGGTGTCTCGTTGAGATTTCGCCGCTAGAACCGGTGAACTCGTAAGCCATGGCGTAACTAAGGTACCCTAGGCGTAACCTGCCCGTAGCGTCAATCGTTCCAGGTACGTCCACTTTCGATCGCGATCGAACCGTTCGACCGTTATAGGTTTTTGATGCGATAACGAGCCCGATCGCGATCAGAAGTCCGTGTCATGGCTAACAACACCGATGCTAATATGGCACTCAACGGTGCCAAACTCGACCACAGAACGCTCGACCTCGAACGCTGTCACACTTAATTATCTGTTTTGTCCTTTTCTTCCTTCGCATTTCAGGGAAGGCCCTCCTGCTGGCTGACTGGTGCTCAGCGTAATAAGATAAATGCGTCTTGAGGAGGCGTTGCTTAAGCGCTCTAGTTTCTTTTTTTCCCCTCGCATTGTTTTTTTTTTTTTTTTTTTCAGGTGATGGGGCTGCTCTGCAGGGTCGATCTTCAGCGGTGGGCTTGGCCGGGCGCTAGTAGGTAGTCTGTGGTGTTAGCAGCTTGCCGCTGCCAACACAAGCACAAGTGGGACGTCAGCATGTCCGATCACAGATCCTCAACTTGCGCGGTGGTTGACTTGAATCATGTTGAATCGGCAAACTGATCGATCGCCGCTCGACTGTGTGGCGAGTGTGCGCCCGGCCTGCGCCTCGCCGAGCGGCTCTCTAACCGAGCGTCGACATATGCGTTCGCTTAATTATAAAAGGTGCGTGCGTTAATCGATCGTATGCCCACTCACGGGACACGCATATGTTCGTCACGCTCTTCCGCTTTAAAACTCTGATCGATCGGCATTATAACAAAGCACCGTTTTAGGTGAGGAGAGGTGATCGTAATTACAACCCCTTAAGGAACACGGTTCAGCTTTTTTGGGAGTAGGAGGCCGAGTGACAGCTGGGCAAATCTAGGCCACTTGTTCAAGCTCGCTTATCTCCCTGCCCCAAATCAGAATGACTTCGAATTAGAAGAATCGATCGGCAGGGGCAAGTGGCGTTGGATCTGGAACCCCATACTTTCCTGGTTTGATAAGACACCGTTTAGAGCAGGGAACGAGAGAGAAGGAGGGGTAATCGTGGTGGTTTTCCTTCTGTCCTTTCTTTTTTTCCTGGTCCGTGGAGCAGGAAGTAAGCCTGGCTTATTCGCGTCAGAACATTAATTGGCTGGAAATTGTAGGCTGGTGCGAACCTACCTTAATTGCCTCATTTAATATAAAACGACTTTGGCATCGAGCCAGCAACAGCTTTCTACACCAGGTTTTGTGGCCGTATTCCATCTGGAAACGCATACTCTAGATCTTGCGAATTTCATCCCACATTAATTGGCTGGAAATAGTAGGCTGGTGCGAACCTGCCTTAATTGCCTCATTTAATATAAAACGACTTTGGCATCGAGCCAGCAACAGCTTTCTACACCAGGTTTTGTGGTTGTATTCCATCTGGAAATGCGAACTGTAGATTTTGCGAATTTCATCACACGCTGTTCATCCAGAATATGACTTACCTTTGAGCCACTGAGAATTCCTTATAACCTCGCAGCCTCGATTTATTTGTCCTCATTCACTAAGCTCGACTTCACATGGCCCAGGCAGTTCTCATAGTATGCATATGAGTAACTATTATTTTGTTAGTACTCAATTACTTCCCCAATAGTTTTGAGCGCTATACACTACACTCTAAATGGCCTTCATGTACTCTTTAATGACTTAGCAACATTAACAGCTTCTGATGTAGCCACTTGAGGAAATACTGTGTGCAAATTTTCTTCCCCAAACTTAACCGGTATTGCTCTTTTTAGCAAAACTGACAGTGGCCCATGCATAAATTGGTGCTTCAGACACCACAGCTGCAAGCAGTGCCACAGATTTTGTATCTGCAGTAGCAGGGGCACTGTAACAAAATTGATGCACCAGTTAAGTAGAAAGCCACATACTTGAGCAATGCTATGAAGTAAATAAAAATAAGCTGACATTAACTTTGATCATTCAGTGTAGACTAACGACTGATATATTTTGTCAAGCAAGTTCATATTGTTGTGCTTCGTTGTTACTTTTTTGTTGGAATTTATTTCAGTGAAAAAAACAACCAGACATGGCTTATTCATTATGCAGGTAGAAGCAACCTACAAGGAGAATAGCGTCAAGGTAATTGTACAATTATCAAACGAGTCTTGCAACAAGACATTTTTGTGTTGTATTATGATGCAACAGAAGGCATCGTTTGCCAGTTCGAGTTATAGTCTGCTGTAAAAGGGTGCCTATTCATGTGAAATAATTGGCGTGGGGTTGATAATAATTGCGTGGGGTGATGGTAATAATTGGCGTGGGCGTGGGATTGATTTGTGGGGTTTAACGTCCCAAAACCACCATATGATTATGAGAGACGCCGTAGTGGAGGGCTCCGGAAATTTTGACCACTTGGGGTTCTTTAACGTGCACCCAAATCTGAGCACACGGGCCTCTAACATTTCCGCCTCCATAGGAAATGTAGCCGCCGCGGCCGGGAATCGAACCCGCGACCTGCGGGGTCCGGGAGAATTTCAGCATGGCAAGCGAGTTTAGTCAAAGTGCCTCAGTGAAGCAATCATCTGCTTTACACCTGTGTCCATAATTACGTTTTCTTTACCACTTATACACGGTACCTTTGTTTGTAATGCTGAATTCACCACACTGTTGATACTTGTCATCAATTGGACTGCAGATGCCCAATTGAGTCGAGAGCTAGAGTGAATTGGATTGCGATGTGAAATTATGTTGGCATCCAGCTGTGTTTAGTTACAGTCAGATCTAATTGACTGACCGATTGGCCATCGGGCTTCCTTTTTATTTTTCCCTATCGGCTATCATTTGCATGCAATAAGGAAACTAAATGAATTCAAATGACATGTCCAGTTGGTCATAATTGGTACGATTTGACGAAAGGCACAATTCCAATTGTTTCAAGTCCAGTTGATGGGATTAGTTGGAACTATTCAATTGGAGCCAGAGAATGAATTTGAGAAAAAATTTCTTCTCTTTATATTTGAATCAAGGGTACTATTGGCATAAAGGAAGAGCACAGAAATGACGGAGACTAAGAATGATGTTACACAGATACATCGGGAGGTTCAACAGCAACCAAAAACTTGCAGTACCACTGGTGAGAAAAGTTGGTCTCAGAAGAACATTCAAGTTTTGGGCTGTTCAAACAAAAAACGAATGCAATAACGTGGTGGCAGGAGCTTGTAATTGATTGACAGCATTTGGATGGCCTGTGGCATAAAGACAATGTGTTGGTTGTCATCAATTGGCTTCCATGAAATATGTAATAAGGCAAACTTGTGAAAAGGGCATAGACAAAAAAACTTGCAACGAGCAGCGCAAGCCAATAGTTCTAGCACAGGTTTCCGGTGAAAAAAACACTGGCATAGTAGGATTGTTCTAAAAAAATTAATCTGGCAGTTTGGCTCTGAACAAACTTGAAAGCTCTAGTTAGGCTAGAGTGTGACTTGGCTTCAAGATAGCATGTGCGCATTCAAGTTTCGATCTCACAAGCGTTTTATATGCAACTAATCGAATGAAAAAGGCATTCCATAAGAAGACTAACAAAACATCGGATATCGGGAGTCTCTGCATCTCAAAAAAACCTCTCTCATCATCAGATACAAAGTCTACGATGTGACATGATCATTAACAAGTGACAATGCTCATGTAAATAAAATAAAAACAAAAATCAGTGAACTAGAAAACAATTGCAATGTTCAGCTTTTCTGGTTGCCTATTGGTCTCGAGGACATACCGTCGTACCATCTTTACGTGATGACGTCACTCATAGGATGCCGGGTTGTGTTGCCTGCTAGAACAAAGCATTTCCTGCGCTTTTTGCTATGGACACCGTGCGTGCTCCCCTTTGTTTTGAAGCTCAGTGCTTAAAGAAGCGGTAAGACCTGATAATGTGAAAGCAAACTACGAATCGGTGCCAGCCGGTGACACTCTCGTGTCTAATTGGCGTCGTAATGTCACGACTAAGAACGGTGCCGCCATGGCAGACGATGCAAGTGGTGTCGCGAAAGCAAAGCTTCCATATTTCACAACTACTACGCAGCAAGGCGCGCCCGCGCATCCTATCTGTGACGTCAAAAACGATCGCAGCGCAGGCCCTCTCTAGCGGAGGCCCTCGCAGCTAATACAATGATCCAACTAACAGTGATTAAACATCAAATATTCCTTAAAAAATATGGAGCAGAAACTTAACTATTGGTGAATTAAACAAACAGGTACCTTCTTTAAGCATAGTGGTACATGCTTCACTGCAAATTGTGAGGGCTACACACTGAAAGACGCCAATGAATGTTTCTAATATTGCTACACTGCAAAACGTAGTGGTTTTCGTGGCTGTTTGATAAAATAGCAATAATAATTTGCTTCAACAAAGTTCAGTAAACAGGTATATTTAGTTCAACAAACAGGTGTAACGATTTCAACGAAGGTCTTGCAGTAGTGGAGAACTTTTCTGGGGGGGGGGGGGGACTGACAAGTGAGACTGCAAGATTGTAACGCAAGAGTAATTATAGATCATTCAAGCAGGAATATGTTCTTAACCCCGTGATGAAAATCTGATCCAGGCATACGCGAATTTTGGATTAAACGGGACACTGCAAAGTCACACCTGCCTATTCCCAGGTGCTTGTCTTCTGCGTAGAAACTACTGAGAGGCTGCGAATGCTCAAGTGTTGATAGCCACTAATTTATGATCAATTTACTGCAAAATACCAAGCCAGTGCCCCCCCCCCCCCTTTTTTTTTTCTAGAGGTAAGTGATGTGCACCAGAGCAAGAGCAGCCCTTGCATTCCTCTCTTGCCAGTTTCTACAGTCTCATTCACTCTTTCAGAAAATGCGAATGTATGCGCACCTAATAAAAAAAAAACATTTGATTAAAACCACAGATGTCTATTTTTAATTCTGAGAAGCTCTTCCTGCTCTATAACCAACCAAGCCCCCCCTCCAAATCTTGTCGGATTATGTTTTACAGTAGAGGGCGGGTGGAGGTGCTTGCTCAGAATTTAATGGTAAAATTTTTTTTTGCATTGTGCCTTTACAGGCCACCAATGGAAAGGTCTTGCTGTGGCTAGAGTAATGAGGACTGGTGAATGAAAGATCAGTGAACAGTGATTATTAATATACCACTTATAATCGACTCCGCCAGATTAAATGTTTTTGTGTTGTCGGCCCTTAACTCTTTGATGGTCGATTTTTTTGCAATGTGCATCCCAAATATGTATTTTTCTAATTAGCTGAATTCAAGAAAAAATTGGCTAAACTTTTTTTGGTGACCATAAAGTGAAACACAATCACTTGTTACACATGGTTTATCGTAACAGCAAGGTAAATTCTGAAAAACCCTATACTACCGTTGAAAAAGTATGCACTGAAATAAACATTAGTACAGTTCATAAACTTACAAAAATAAGGGCACAAATTGATGTCAAGTGGAAGCGCAGAGGGAGAAAAGCCACTTTTGGTGCAGTCTGTAATGTCACATTGTGTATGCTTTTGAAATGTCACTCGTTCATCAATACCCTAGTTTTAACACGGATGTAGCTCCTCATATGAAGAGCCGACATTTACCGAATCAGATTCTGTTTCAGCAGTTGAGCGACGATTTGGAGGAACTGCTGCTAGACTCAGTTGCAGCAAAGAAACGGGCGCACACTTCCACAGCAAAATAAAACTGAGTTGGTGAGTGCACCGAAGAAAACTTCGTAGTTTTAAGCGTGTTCAAAAAGTGTAAACAAGCCCAATGCCCATTATAATCCTTTGTCTTATGTTCACCGAGCGAGTCCTCAAAATGGGAAACAAAACCACAGCGACGTCATTTATGCAGGTGCCTGCGTGAAAACGGATGTGATCGCGTATCGGGGAAACAATATCGAGAGTAACAAATCGGTCATCTTTGAAAGATTTCAACTCGGAAAGCCATCGGTTTTGCGGGTGCAACACGCGGGAACCCGCCGAAGGATAAAACTAAAACTAGCCGGTGCACTGCTATAGTAAAGCGTAAAAAAGAAAGGCGTCGATGCTAGAAAACAATTTCGTGTATTTGCACATTGTGGCAGCATATGCCAAGTAAAAAAAAAAAAAAGACCGAAAAAGGCACGTTTTAGACATACAGGCAATAACGTACAAGTACGTATTTGACAGTCTCAGCACTTTAACCATCTTTTGGCTGTTAGACGATGATGTACATGTTCATATGTGACCTTCAACCCCGTGATGAAAAGCTGATCCAGGCACTATGCAAAATTTTGGATTAAACGTGACGCGCAAGGTCACACCTTCCGATTCCAAGTGCAACGTCTTCCTGCGTAGATGCACCGGAGCTGCAATTCTCCAGTATTGATAGCAGTAATTTATGATCAATTTACTGCAAAATACCAAGCCAGTGCCCCCTCCTTTTTTTTTCTAAAGGTAAGTGATGTGCACCAGAGCAAGAGAACCCTTTGCACTCCCCTCTTGCCAGTTGACAGTCTCATTCACTCTGTCAGAAAATGCGAATGCATGTGCACTTAATAAAAGAAAGTTATTTGATTAGAACCACATGTGTCTATTTTTAATTCTGAGTAGCTCTTTCTGCTCCATAACCAAGCAAGCCCCATTCCAAATCTTGTCGGATTATGTTTTACAGTAGGGGGCAGGGGGAGGTGCTTGCTCAGGATTTTACGGTAAATTTTTTTTTTTGCATTGTGCCTTTACAGGCCACCAATGGAAAGGTTTTGCTGTGGCTAAAGTAGTGAGGACCGGTGAATGAAAGATCAGTGAACAGTGATTATTAATATACCACCTATAATCGACTCGGCCAGATTAAAAGTTTTTGTGTAGTCGGCCCTTAACTCTTTGACGGTCGATTTTTTTGCAAAGTGCATTCCAAATATGTATTTTTCCAACTAGCTGAATTCAAGAAAAAATTTGCTAAAATTTATTAGGTGACCATAAAGTGAAAAACAATCACTTGTTACACATGGTTTACCCATAACAGCAAGGTAAATTCTAAAAACCTTATACTACCATTGAAAAAGTATGCCTTGAAATAAACATTGGTACAGTTCACAAACTTACAAAAATAAGGGCAGAAATTGATGTCAAGTGGAAGCGCAGAGGGAGAAAAGCCACTTTTGGTGCAGTCTGCATTGTCACATTGCGTATGCTTTTGAAATGTCACTCGTTCATTAATACCCGATTTTGAACTCGGATGTAGCTCCTCACATGAAAAGGCGACATTTACCGAATCAGACTCTGTTTCAGCAGTCAAGCGACCATTTGGAGGAATCGCTGCTGGACACAGTTGCGGAAAAGGAACAGGGGAACACTTCCACAGCAAAATAAAACTGAGTCGGTGAGTGCACTGAAGAAAACTGCGTAGTTTTAAGCGTCTCAAAAAAGTAAAAACAAGTCCAAAGCCCATCATAATCCTTCGTCTTGTCTTCATCGAGACAGGAAGAGCTTTTGCGAGTCTCGAAAACGGGAAACAAAACCAGAGCGGCATCACTTATGCAGGTGCCTGCGTGGAAACAGACGTGATCGCGTATCGGGGAAGCAATATCGAGAGTAACAAATCGGTCATCTTTGAAAGATTCCAACTCGGAAAGTCATCGGTTTTGTGGGTGCAGCACGCGGGAACCCGCCAAAGGACAAAACTAAAACTAGCCGGTGCACCGCTATAGTAAAGCATAAAAAAGAAAGGTGTCGATGCTAGAAAACAATTCCATGTATTTGCACATTGTGGCAGCATATGCCAAGTAAAAAAAAAAAAAGAATGACCAAAAAAGGCACGTCCTAGACATGCAAGCAATAATCTACATGTATGTCTTTGACAGTCTCAGAACTTTGACCATCCTTTGGCTGATAGCCGATGACGTACATGTTCATATGCGACCCTCAAAGTGTTAAAGGCTGCTGTAACCAATGTTGCTGTAGAGAGCTGTTGCAGGGGCATTACAGTTTTTACTGGTCTCGTGTCATCATGCTGGAAAAGTGAGGCGCTATAATTGTGCTGATCCGAGCTTAATGTGGCGAGCCCCTAAAATCACAAACGCACAAAGCTTTCTTTTTCTCAAAGGACTGAGACACGGTGAAATGTTTGATTAGGGTATATAACACTTGCATTTACGAAGTGGGCCATAGTTGAAGCTTTCCGTCCTCTCGAAATGGAGCGTGGCACCATTATTTTTTGGAGTGCCCAAACTAGTCTTCATTAGTGCCGCTACTTTTGTGAAAGAAGGAAACGCCTGAAAATGCACCTTTGCACCAGTGCATTCCAGAAGGCTTCGAGAGCAACCTGGCAATGAAATATTTCGGAAAAAAAGAAAAAAGGGCAAGGTGCCACTGACCGGCGATGCAAGGGGGCTAGCGCTCTAACCTCATTATGAGTTGAGGTCTAGTGTGGGGTGGCGAGGTGAGGTTTAGCTGCCAATGTGACAACTGCACTCACGTTGCTTCAACAGAGGCCTTGACTTGGCCAGCTCCTTCACCTGACAGAAAACACGCTGAAGACCACTAAGAAATCCCGAAGCTCACGAGCATGAAAGTTACGCATCTGCCATGTCAAGAAAATAGCACAAAGAAGACGAACAGTCGGCACACACCCAGCATGATCTAAGTACAGTGTTGCTGTTATCTTCATAAACAAAGTGCTTAAAAGCAGAAAACAGTTATTCAAACAAACGAGACAGAAATGAATGTTCATATTAAAACAACACCACAAAACAACACTTGTGCGCAAGCTCTGCAGTGCACAGGTGGGTACAACGAAACTTTGAACGTTAGTTCGCTTCAGAAGCCTTTTGCCACAGCACACTATGCGCAAACATACAACAATGATAAATCACTGGTACGCATCAATGTTGGCTTTATGAAAAAAATTACCCTAATGTTGAGTAGACTTCTGCTGCGTAACGGGGCATCACTGAAGCTCTAATAATCATGAGTGTAATCAGAAATCATTTACAGCATTGGCAAGCTGAACAAAACAAGTCTAATGTGGGTTCCATTTATTTCATATATTGACTTACTTCCAATATGAAATTATGATGATGGTGGCCATGATGATTCACAGTGACTCAGTGCAATGCAGATAATGTTTTGTTTTTCATTCAGAGAAACATCGAAAATGTTACAGCAACAGAAAAAAAAAGGTAAAGATACAGTTGCAGTTAAAAAAAAGCTCTTCCATGGACTACAGTATGACATTTTCCAGAAACTACGACCACCACAACACTTATACATATAAGCAAAAAAAAAAAAAAAAGCAAGATTGAAGCATGAAGCATTAGCCTGCCGCAGAACATTTTTTTACAGAACACGAAAATTTTACACTATGTTCGCCAATACGCTCCCATAAAAAAGAAGAAGAAAAAGAATACAGGCTCCGTACCAAGCAAACAGTACCAAAATTGACAAGGTTATGAGTTCGGTTGCGGCTAGCCCTTTGTAACATATTCACTCCACGGAAACGCCCCTGCAATTTCTCCCACGTGATGTAATGCTCAACAGCAACTGAATTCTTGACAGCCCGATTCAACAGTAGTTTAGTTTACTGATTGACAGCAGAAGTTTGATCAGATGCAGCGTGAAAAACCCTCTGAAGAAAAAAAAAAGAAAGAGAGAGAGAGATGACATCTTGTAATGAAAAGAATAACTAATGATTTTCTAGGCATACTCGGCTCGCGAATTCGTAGCAAACGTAATATTAAGGTCTATAATTGTCAGAGAAAGGGCGCGTCGGCAAGTTCTTTCCTTGAAATTCAACAAATGAGGAAAGAAGAAAAACCTTGAGCTCGGGCATATTTTGCAAAAATACATGACTAGGTGTGTGACATGGTGCCACAAGAGATTACAAACTAGGACTGTGCACCACTGGAACAAACCTATCTGCACACTAGTCGCATGAAGTCTGTGGATGCCTCACCCCCTGAAGCAAGGAAGGGGTGACTGCTCACAAAAAGCTTTCATTTCGTGTGTCCCAAAAGACGGACAAGTAGCGGTGGCTACAGAGTAACTTTCTTCAAGGCAATGACCAATTGCAGATCTACTATTTGGCGAGGTTTGTATGGCAAGGTGTGCAAGCATGTGTTATGGTCAGTACGCATATAACCACTGATGAGGAGGATTTTGGGATGTCTAGCCGTCTAACGACAAGCCTCAGCTGCTCCTGAAGAGTGGCGTGATAGCCCCACAAACGACCTTACAGAAAGTTCAGACATCACATTTTATAACAACTGGCTTTGCAGAGAAAAAAAACAACTCTTAACATTGGTGCAGCTAGTCTTACTTGCCCTCTGATTGTTTTTTCTTTCCACCTGTGTAAATCCCCCCACCCCCCCAAACTTTGCAAACAAATAAAAAGAGAGACGGGCAGAGCGCATCTGCTGTCTTACTGTGCTCTTGTGTGACTTTTAATTGCAGCCTTTGGGTTCGGTAATGCTAAGCACAGACCGTGAATAGTAGGGGATATTTCGAGGGGAAGCCCTCCAGCATTTCGAGCCACCGAGAGACAACCCAAAGCAATGTATTGAGGCAAGTTGTTGAACGCACATACACATAAAAAAAAAGAGAGAAAAATTGTGCTGTGTGTGCGAAGAAACCTTTGAATAGAAACGATTCCTTTCCCACACTTGTTTTATGCACACTCCCATTCACACAAACAAAACGACCTCGCTGTCAACTTTTCCAGAAAGAGACTGAAATGCATCCTTGCTGCTCGCCGAGGCAGCGTGCTCAGGATGGTTCCTGCTTAATGCGCGGCCCTTCGATGCGAGGTTCCACCTTTAAGGGGATGGCGTCCTCGCGTAGACCAAGGAGCCGCTGCTGCCGTCGCACGAAGTCGGCCTTCTCAAAATGGCGGAAGCAGACCCGCGGACTCTGTGGCCGGTTGCGGTCGTAGTCAATTGGTAGCCGCTCGTCCCACAACGACATCAGCTCCTCGTTCTCTGGCATAGAGAACAGCCAGAGGCCCTCCTTGTCGGACGTGTCGCCGGACTCGCAGTCGCGAACGCAACAGTAGTACGTTTTATCGTCGCTCTTTTTGCTGCAAGGAAATCCAATACACTGTTGTGGAACTTGCACTTTAAAATGCACTTGCTGTACGTGCAACGAGCAACACTTGCTCTACCATGATGCAGGGGATGAACAACGATCATCGGCAATCTAATCACCAGCAAAAAACACCTCGTCGTATATGTGTATGATCCGAAATAGCAGCGCTGCCACTAGGGCTCGCGTTACGTCCACAATAAACTTAGCTGCTCTTGGGCACACAATCTCGTTGGAATAGTCCAAAACAACGGGCCTTTTTCAGGAAACCAGTCTGTCCATGTGCAACCTAGTCAGTGTGTTTTTTTTGATGCCATACTTAGTTGGGGGTCACTGGGCGACATTTGCAAATCATCAAGAAAAATACTGAGCCCCCCCCCCCCCCGTGATCGTCTACTGATGCAACGGCGATTTCCACTGGACGCGCTGTTCTAACCTGAAAAAGGCCCTTTGAGCAGTTTCTCAAACACTGCAGCGGAGCCTGAGCTAAGCGAAATTTGGAGCAGCAAAATGTTACTTTTGGAACACGAAAATCCTATGGTAAAGCAGCTTGCGATTAAAAAAAAAAAAATGTTTATCACGAAAGTTTAAATTTAGAGCAGCACAAAACAGAAAACAAAAATAAAATAAAAATATGTGCAAATCTAAACCACGAAGCGTTGACATACGCACAACTACTATTTCAATAAAACAGTACTTTGGACCACCCCACTGTGCAAACAATAGTAAAGTCCATGTTGACATTTGTCCTGCGAACCAAATCCTTCGACAGACACAAAATAAAGTGTGGATCTGCAAGCTGGCGACCTTGAAATTTGGGGATCATAAAGAAGCCAAGTAGAAAAAAAAGAAAACCGAGCACACTTGTTTTCTTTTTAGGGCTGCATCAATGTCATACACTGGTTCAAACGATTTCCAGTAACATTTTTAGATCAGTGATCACACTACTACTCACAATTATATGCGACATATATGCCCATGAGTATTTGTGAAACAAAATTAGCTGCATCCCTTCCTTGACTAGTGCTCAAAACCCCTTCTAAATCATAATACGTTTTTCCAAATGACATCAGTGTACGGTGGCGAAGGTGGCTTAAAGGGGCCCTGAAACACTTTTCTGAGTAACCATGGATTGATTGATAGATATGTGACGCCGTAGTGGAGGGCTCTGGAAATTTTGACCACGTGGGGTTCTTTCTTTAACGTGCGCCCGAATCTGAGCCCACAGGCCTACAACCTTTTCGCATCCATCGGAAATGCAGCTGTCGCAGCCGGGATTTGATCATGCGACCTGCGGGTCAGCAGCCGAGTATCTTAGCCACTAGACCACCGCGGCGGGGCCCGAGTAACCATGGAATTATTGTACTGGAAAAGCGTATTGCCTCACAAATTCAACGCCGCAAAAATTTCAAGAATTCGTCCAGTACGAGTGGTGTTTCAAAGATTTGTCACAAGCTGCAATCGCACTGTCTCTTCTCTCATCCCGAGGAAAGCGCTGGAAGCCGAGCAAGGAGGGATGGGAGGAGGCAAACACAAAACGTTGCGCATGCCTCGTGACCTTGAGCACTTTTTTCTTTTTTTTTTTCTACGATTACGCGGCCTTTTCAGCACGGTCGTGTGTGCACGCGTGGACAAGTGACAGCCTTCCGCGGCAATCTCTGTAACGACCGAGTGCGCCATGTTCAAATAAGCCAATGGCTTATAGATGGGCTTACTACGAGTGGTTTTTGGACTTATTGCATGACATGTATGTCAAAAGAGAAAGCAATTTTTAGCTGACGGATAATTTATTGTAAATTGCAGGTCGCGTGCTGTGCTATGCTATTTGGCTTGCATGTCGTTAGGAGCCTCTACTAACGATCGGCTGCATTTCCTGACCATGCTCAAAAAGTGTTGCAGGGCCCCCTCTAAGGAGAAATGCGATTTGAAAAAAAAAAAAAATCCATTAATCTATAGCTTATGGCCACGGAATTTTTGCTTTATATATAAGCTTTTACGCTGGTTTCAAATATGTACTTAGTTTTACAGTAAGTTGCACGGTTTTAGTTTTATGCCATGAAAATATGTCAAATATAGCTGGTATTGGACAAACTTTTTACCTTTAATAGCTCATATTGCTCTAAAATAACTGTAGAATGCAAATAACCACCAAGAAAGAACATATAATACATTTTAATGGGCAAGAAAAAATTGTAATCTGAGAATGTTTAAGATCCTCAGCTCATACAATTTGTTCACTTTAGGTTCGCAATAATCGTAACAGCGATAAGAAGTTTCAAAGAAGATACTTGCACCTTTACATGTTAAGTTTTATGTGGGCAAAGCTTCATCCCCATCAGACTATCAGGAGCACAAAGAACAAAACAAGGTGTCTAAACTCAAGAAGTTGCACTAAAATACATCCTGAGAAAAAGGCATTTTATAGGTACAATTGACAGCTCATGCATGCAGGAAAGACTTAATTTTTGATAATTTTTTACATCATGAAAGCTTGGCAAGCCTTGTTATTTTGAGCATGTGACTGTAGTGAACTTATCATGCAAAATAAAAATACAAAGGCAAGCAGCCAGTTGACAATTTCCAGGGGACTCTAGACGATGAGCTCTTTTCAGTTTTTATCAGGCACCTTGCGGTCTTTAAAGGGGCCCTGCAACGCTTTTTGAGCATGGTCAGAAAACGCTGCCGATCGGTAGTAGAGGCTCCCGACAACACACGACCCAAATATTATAGCCCACCAAGCGGCCTAGAATTCACAATAAATTATCAAAGTCAGCTAAAGATTGCTTTCTCTTCTCTCTGCAAATGACGGAAGACACTTAAAAATTACTTGTAGAAAGCCCATCTATCAGCCACTTGCTGATTTGAACATGGTGCACACGGTTGTTACAGAGATCGCCGCGGAAAACCGTGACTTGTCCACGCGTACACACACGATCGCACTGAAAAAGCCGGGCATACGAAAAAAAAAAAAGGTGCTCCAGGTCACGAGGCGCGCGCGACGTGATTTCATTGCTTTTGCCATCTCTCCCTGCTTAGCTTCCAGCACTTTCATCGCGACAAGAGAATGCAATCACCGCATGCAACAAATCTTCAACTCCACTCGCACTGGACAGATTCTTAAAATTTTTTTTGGCATTGAATTATGAGGCAATAAGTTCTTCCAGTGAATTAGATGGTTACTTGAAAAAGTGCTTCAGGGCCCTTTTAAAAGCAATTTTAACCTACTTCGACTTTTATTGCAATCAGCAGTTTGTTTATATGTGAAAGTAGAGAAACTATATACTAGTCAAAGCAAATAAAAATGAGAAAAACATGCAATTTTGGAAAAAAAAAAGTTGTTTTTCGCCTTGCACCTCCCCTTAAGAGACATTCCTAACGAGCGAGTGTCGTTATATCGACAATCAATCTACGTCGCTTCATGAACGTGCGAGCTGTGTGTGCGATATATTACCACCCTGTCATCTACGCGAGGTATTAGTATGTTGCACTTGCCACAAACAACTCAGTCCCTGTCGCGTGTCATCGACCACTGCTCGAAATTCGCAACAATACATGGGGAAACAAGACCAACTTACGAGGGCTCCACAACTTTAGATTCATTGTTCCATGACGAGTACAGGTGCGGATTTTCAATCGGCGGCGGCACGTCACTGACAGGTGCCCACGATGAAGAACGCTTGGGGCCGCCCTTCCCCTCCTCACCCGCTGTCCTATTCTTTTTCTTGACCGGCTCCCCTTTGGCTTTGACTGCCTTCTTTCGCGGTGGAGACCCGTCAGGTTCGTCAACTTCTTCAGAGGACTCTGACGAGTCTTGGGAGCTCTGTGGGCGTCGAACCGAGCTGCGCCGTTTAGGCACCACTGTCTCCTCTTCGAAATCAGGGTCGTCGTCCGAATACTCTGAATCGCTGTTCAGCATCGCCTGCAACTGCTCCTCAGTCAGCCTCCTCGCTAAAAAGGGGGAAAGAACCAGGAAGGAAATAAACTCTGTAAGAACTGTAGCTTGAAACACTAGAGCATACGTGAACGGCACAAGCAAAGGTACCACAGATGAGTTAGAAACTCAATGCACATAGGATGAGTACCTAGAAGTGCACAGCTATTTCGAATAAACAGTACAGCCATTTATGATGATGATTACAGGCCCTATGAGTGTCGGGATGTGATAAGGAATGGGGAACAACGATGATGTCAGCTGTACGAAAGCCTACAATTTGGCGAAAAGTGCATAAGTACCTAACTATTCATATCGTTAGAGTGGCTTGAAGTGTACTTGATGAGAATGAGTGACGAGTTGTTATGGTAACACAACTGTGGGAGCATGGCACTAACAGAAATTTGTACACGTCACATGCCAGAAGAGAGACTTTGCAATCAACTTTTTTTTCGTAATTATAGCTCCTACACATTAGCAAATGCACAATGTTGCTTCTGAGCAGGTTTATTAATTTCGTAGTAATGAAATAAAATATCACTTTTTTAGTCAGTCTACCCCACCACACCCCCTTAAGTCGACGCAGGTGCTATCTGTGATGAAAGTATAGCAGCAGCACCCCCTCTCATAAGGCTGAGCTAGCGATTACCTGGACATACAACGTTAAAGTATGTAAATCTTTTAAAAAATCGAACAGTAATTTCATGTTTAAGAGGTTGCCAACCTGTCAACATTAAAGAATTAGGCGGCATTTGCTGCCGGTGTAATAACAAAAAACACTTTTATGTATGCAGCACTCTAAGTGGCTTACCGGATCTAGCACAGCTGGGTGGGTCACCAGTGAAAAGAGATGCGCGCGTGTGCCCTATTCAGAGTCGGCAAAGTGTGACTTCAGTATGATTCATTTTGTGGCGAGAGCTAGACTTGCTGTATTCTTGCCGGTTCACCATGACCAGTGGCTGCACCACAAGCCAAGCCGTTCTGCCTAGCAAACACTGCAGCTGGCAGCGCCGCGCTTAATGCCTCTGTGCTTTGTAGAAATACTGCACTCTGCTCTCCCCTCCGTCGCCCCCTCTCCTGCACATCTAGGTTTTCTCCCCCCCCCCTTTCCACCCGCAACAACGGCTGTCCCTCTTGACACGCCTTGCGAACGCGTGAAGTTTTTGAGCCGGCTGCACGCCGCTGCTGCCGTGCCTTGGCAGTTTCACGATTCACTCTTCATTCCCACGTTGATTATTTAGTTGATGAGGGTGTGCACACCATCTGATATCCTTAATGAACTATGGCGGCCCAAGAGCTGGTGCAAGCTGTGCTCACTGCATGTTGTCTACGCTTTCTTTCGGAGCGCAGCCTTTCCTTGCGTATCTGGGCACAGATATTTCCAACTGGGTTTATTTAAACAAGATTGAAATGAAATCCTCAAACCATGGCATGCCATTTGTTGCATAGAGAAGAAATATTTAAACAGCAGCCACAGTGTACAACCACGCCATTTGGAATCTTTCCAGTGTGCGTAAATTGTCTCGGTCGTCCATAACTTTAGCAATTATAATGAGGTCCACGAAGGCACTCGCTCAAAACTTCATGATTTTTCACGAGTTACCTCTTATCTGCCTGAAACAATGTAGTGTACATGCAGTACACTGTTCTGGCATGTCTGGCATGTATGGCGCAGTTTACACCCACTGTAACGATGCATGCCTTCATGGGCGTTGCCGACGTACAGGCGATTGAGATCGTTCTCACCTCTGGACGGCCCAGCTGGTGCATTGTGAAAGTGGAGAATCAATTGATAGCAGTTGCCCCACTACAACTTTCGAAATTATCACTCGCTGTTGGAGATGGTGTCACCCATATCTAGCAACGTATTCTCTGAATACACTGTGACCTCGATGCAATGAAAAATTGCTGCACATCATCATAAATTCTGACAGAGCGTTTTTTTCTTCGTGCAAGTGCCAAGCTGTGGGGCGAGACTTTGCGACGACCTTCGCTCTCTTTTCAGTATGAACTGGCAAAAAGAATTTTCCCTTAGGTGTCACTGTCATGGCAGCCAAACATGCAGCAACCCAGCATCGCAGAAACATGAGTGAGATGCACATCTGCACTTCACACGCTCTGCGCATTGCATGCGGTGAACACACAGCGCAGTGGCATTTTGGGGTTTCCAACATGGCGCCGAGAGGCAGAGGGGAAAAAAACTACCATGCGACCAAAAGTTGTCCTATAAAAAGAGGGAGCAGCTTAGATCAAGATAAAGCTGTACTTTTCCGAAGGTTCAGGGGCTTTAGCCGCGCCATCTGCAATGATGTCAGAGGAGAAGCCAGCTTTGCACTGCTAAAGGCGGCTCGATGGGTTTCATCGGCAGACGCGAAAAGCCAGTCGGAGAGACTGAAAGAGGCCAGGGTTTGTTGTCAGAACAGGACGGGACAGCATCGGCAGCAAGCTGAAGAGATGGAGGAAGACCGAGCAGCACTTCTCGAGAAGCGTACAGAGAACCAAGCTAGACTGTAGGATTAACTGCTTCTTGCTACGCACACTCGGGCGTAACCGCGTTAAGCCACAGACTTTTTTTTTCATGTCAGTGGCTCCTGACTATATTATTTTGTGTTCGATTGTCCCATAATTGCTGCAAGCGACTTGAACGGCTTTCTTTGAAAAGCACTTGAGTGCGGCACAAAAACTGACATAGACGTGTGTGCACCGTTCGCAATGTGACAAGCTGGTGAGCCAGTAGACTGCCCTATATATATACCACAGTGCCCAGGAACCCAACACACGACGACATGCTACTGGGACGCATAAGTGTGCATGAAAGTAAACGAGCCATACAATTACCGGATTTCTATGCTTTTTTTTTTCAGACTTTTGAACTCTTTCACAACGATTAAAGGATCCGTGCATGTTTAAAGGAAAAGGTATGTTTGAAGTGCTTAACAGCCGCAAGAAAGGCAGCAAAGGGAAGCTTGCGATGAGAAATTCGTAAACAGGGTATGTGTGCAGGAGGTGACATTTCGTCAAGTGGTTACTTGTCTTTTTCAAAGACTGCAACTGCAGCATTAAAATGTTGCAGTCGTGAAAGACAAGCCCACATGTCGAAACGTCATCTCCTGCACACACCCTCCGTTTACGAATTCAACAGCCACAAACACTGCGCAAGACTTCTGCAGTGATCGCTTGCCTGCATTTTGGTGCGACATTCCGGCACCCAACACAGACAGACACCAACCCATGCACAAAATACGGCACAATGACATATTAATGTGTCTGGGAAAACTTCAGGACAAGCGTATTGTTGCAGCTTGAGGAAATACATACACATATGTGCAACTGCCGCATGTTTCGTAATGATACATCCAAGTCTAAAGACCACATTTTTCTTGGCCTTGTAGTGCGAGGGTCAGCTGCGCCACTACTCTCAACACCAGGCGCTGCAAAAGACAATGGGGGCTGATGAATGCGAGAGATGATGGCCGTGTTTGCTTCGCGCCTGGGCTAGTGCGAGTGCTCTTAGAGCCATTGGCAGAGAGCAGTCCGAGTCGCTTGCTTTTTCACATACTCAGAACGGCAGTGAAATGTATAATCCGGGTGTCATTGTGGTACCCAACCAGCGAAAGAGGAAGCGGCTGATGCAACGTGCCTGCAGAGCCTTGCATTTGTTCAGAGTTTTCTAGACACTGTTAAGAACCTTGATTTCAATAAGTAACAAATTAGCTGCTTCTCTTGCACAGGAGGCCATATTTTCCGCACATTCAAACGCTGCACTGCAAGTGCATGACGTACAACACGACCTCCTACTGCATGAAAAAATAAACTTATTAAAACAGCACTGACAAAATTGTTTCGAAGGGGGAAAGAATGTCTCTGTGTACATCACCACATGTTTTCTGAAACTGTGAAGCAAAGGAACATGTTCGTCTATTTTGCCAGAAAATTTGCAGGCACCCTGGCAGCGCACTGGAGGCAAGCTTTAGTTGTTAATGTGCACGAAAATTTCAGGACACTGATGTTGCCCACATCCAATATATGGCCACCCAGGCTATAAATCTCAAAAAGGCACTAACAAATCTCTGTATATCAAACTATTTCATTCTTTACAACTTCATGTTCATAAATCTTCACAGTTGTGGCATACCAGTGGTTTCATGACAACGAAGTTTCCCTGTGACAGCTATCGAAACCAGTGGCGAAAAATACTGGTCCGGCTCAATCACTATTGAAAATGCCCATGCGACAGAGACATTGTCATTGCAGGAGCCACCTTCAATTTTGGTTAAGTATATCCAGGCCGAGGGGTGTCACGATAGAAGGTCCTGACCGAGCCTGCTCGTACACTGCTCGGTCAGGATCAAATATAATCACTATCAAACTCAAGCGTAATCTTTGTCAGTTTTGATTGTGATCCAAAGCACCTGTGCGACGGTGTTTTTAGCAGGCTATGCTCGTTAAACACAGATAGGCTGGGGCCGGCATGTGCTCTGTGTCATGCTCTGCTACAAGAGGCGTCTGTTGCTCTACATCCAGACCATGCTTTCGCAGAAATCTCGGCGCCTTTTCTCAGCTACAACGTTCTCCATAAAACTTTCACATGATTGCCTAATTGGACTCATCCGAATGCGTACTGCGAAAGAACTCACAAAACAGACATCATGCAGCACAAAGTCTGACGGTAGTGTGGCGCGAAAATATCAGTCGCTGCTGCTATTCAGGAGAGAGAGAAAAAAAAACTGTTCATCTGGCCATTTACATGTGTAAAATGTCCAAGCTTAGAGCGTTTCATGATATGATACAGCTTTTAAATACCGGCACGGTGAACAGCAGTGTGTTGAAACTATTAAAACATTCGCGGCTATATCGAACTTTCCCGCAGTTTCACAAGCTCCCTGTCACAATTCTACTATAGAAAAATGTAGCCACGTGAAAGCAGATGAACGTTCTTTCATTCAGATAAGACTGAACGACTGCAGCACTAGCATATCTGCCGTAGCCCTGCTACCAAGAGCCACAAATGTAATGC